CGATAAGGATATACTCGAACTCGAGCTCAGAAATATGATAAAAATAACTAAGCTCGGGCTCGACTCGATAACCATAAACGAGCCGAGCTTGAGCTCAAGTTTGAAATTTATTAATCAATTTATTAATCAAAACAGCGTCGCTTTAATATAGGTTTTAATTGATTTTGTTTTATTGAGCTAGCTCGAGAGCTCAGTTGATAAAGTTGGTTTACAAACTAATGACCCAAGTTCGAGCTTAATAGCTCGGCTCGATAAGTTTATTAAATGAGTTCGAGCGAGCTTTTATCGAGTTTCACCACGAATAACTCCCTAACGTCTTGTCTCGTTTACATCCCTAGATGGGGGTTCTGTACCACAACATAAAGGGTGATGGGTGATACTGTTACATTCAAGTATTGGCAAATGGAAACTATTAAGGTGTACTAAAAAAGAAAATTTTTTGCGGAGGGTAGAGTAATATATAGAGGCCTTTTACAGCAGAGAATCTAGAGTTAAAGTATCATAACATCTGACTGGCAAAAGTGAGATTGAGGATAATTTTACATTCTGGCAACTAAAATTTGTCTATCTCTTTACTCATCTTTCAATAAAGATGTGTTTATAGAATACCTCACATTCTCACCTAACTTAGCAGAACAACTCAGTCCCAGTCCTTCTCTCTGCTCTGCCAGGGGAAAAAAGAAAATATTAACCTTGACTTGACACCACCATTTCCACCACCACTGCCACCTCCTCCTCTCTGCTTTTTCTAATTAATTATATTAAAAAAATAATAATAAGAAACTGAAAAAGAAAAGAATTGATGAACATGGGTCAAAAGATGAGAGTTGGTAACCCCAGTTTCAGTTTCTTTATATGAGTTGTTTAGGTTGGTCCATTTTTTCTCCTTTTCTTTCTTTATATTTTTACACTGCCCAAGTTTTGGATATTATGACATTTGATTAGCAAAGTATTCTGGGACATAGAGAATGTGTCAGTATTCTGTATCTGTACGTACCTGTAGTCAGTACTTATACTCTGTATGTGACATTATTTTTTATTTGTAATTTTTCCTTCTTGTAGCTCTTTTGCCTCTAATATACATTCCTACTTTTGTCGCATCCGCCATAGTTGATTTTACGTTTTATGCTCACATAAAGAAAGATTATTTTGTTATTAAATAATATCGGTAATTTTAATATAATCTACCTCCGTTGCTCTAAGTTTGGTTCCATCGATTTTACTAACTGATAGGTAACAATTGATGACCGATTGTGATTAACCGATTATTATTGATATTTGATAAAATTTTAGTAATGGTTGCCGCTAAAATATAGAATGACTACTAAAGATATAATTTAATGTATTATATAAATAAAAATATTAATTTGAAACAAATAATTTTATTATCAATTATTTTTATGAGATTAATGAATGTAAAATAATATGAATGCGAATCAGCTACCAATTGATTCAAAAAAAACTCCAAAACAATTGATTGAATCCGCAGCGACACCTACAACATAGCTGTAGATACAAATCAGTTGTCAGCTACACGAATCAACTCGATCTATCGTTCTCTACCAATTTTTGCACCACAGTATCATGTTCCCATGTTATTATCATGTCCCAGCTCATTGGGCAGAAAAATATAAAAAAATAATTAAAAAAACAAAAGGTATTAACTATAAAGAAACTTCTATGAAGGTCTCCTTATCAAATATTTCTGACCCCACTATTGCAAAATCCATACACATCACAGTACTTTCCATCCCAATACTAGAAAATTTGAATTGCATTACAATCGTTGCAGTTGCAGTGCAGATGCACGCTACAAACAAAGAAATCGATGAAACTTCTCCAACAAGAGAAACTTATAGCTGTTTTTAGTATCATTACCTCCTTTTTTGGTTTTTAACCTTTTTTCACATTTTTCTTGTCAGCTTCATTCCAATCCTTAAGTTCCATAACCTTATATATCATTGAAGCAGCTAGGTACTCTGATTGCTCTTAATTGGTTCCTTTTTTTTTTATTATTTCTTTCTTTTTTAACTGAAGTTTATGGCTCTGTTAAATGAATGATTCCCTTTCAAAGATTACTGAGACCCTATATAGCACTCAATGGCACAACTAAGGCTGGGACTGAGAGTTTATGTTGGTTTAGCACTGTTTCTTTCTGCAAAATACAAGTACTTAATTGAAACTTTTTAATATAAAAATTTCTGATTTGGCTCCTAGGTTATAACTGCGATGGAGCCAAGTGTTCTGTAACCCCATGCGTCATATTTGTAATCATACTGTCTCGAACCCTCTTGATCATGGAGTTCTTTCTTCTCCATAGTTGGAGAGATTTTTTATTTTTATTTTTAAAGAAAAACAGTGGACCCAAGAACTTAATCGATTACTTCTCCCCAGAGAGAGGTCAGAGATCGCTAGCTAGATGCAACCTGCAAGTATAATCTAATTACTCTAATTGTGCTTAATGCTTAAAAGATATATTAAGCTATTAATTAAAAACACTTCTGCTTTTGCATCTAACCCGTCCCATTCACGGTCGATTACAAAGTTCAAGGTCATCGACCAGTCTACTTGTATCTAGGCCTGCCCAATATATATTTACACCCAATTAAAGATTATTGCACTTCTACCTAACTTGGAACGTCAGAAATGAAAGTTATCACTTCCGAATCTTTTCTTTTGACTATAAAAGTTTTTATTAGTTCGATGTTTTAAGAAAAGACTATCCATTTTGTATAAATCATAATGTTATTATAATCCGTTGTAAATAATATATTTTTGTGGTTGAGACTTGACCAGATTAGAAGTTGAAAAATCTTTTTTTTTTTCTCAATGATTAAAGGTTTTTTCAGACCGATTAATCATGCATGCATGTCAATTAAGGTTAAAATCTTATTTCTAAATACTTTGAAAATATTGGCTTTAAAAATTGAATATCAATCAATAACCTGATAAAGAAATCTATTTTAGTGGTCGAGACTTGACGAGATTAGAAGTTGAAAAATCTTTCTTTTTTTTTCCTCAATGATTAAAGATATTTTCAGACTGATTAACCATGCATGCATGACAATTAAGGTTAAAATCTTATTCCTAAATACTCTGAAATATTGGCTTTAAAAATTGAATCTCAATCAATAACCTGATAAAGAAAACTCTGTTGCCAATCGAGTCAATCGAAAACGAAATATCTATAAGCTCATGATCAGAGTTGGTTGAAAAGGTAGATTTACATATGCCTAACAGGCTAATACAAACAATGAAAGCTTAGACTTTCCTTGACAAACAACATATAATACAAGTTGAAGGTTGTTTATGGACCACAGCAGAGGCCCAAAAAGTCAAAGAAGACATGATACACCGCATGCCGAGTGAGGATATTTAATCTATTAATAATATCCTAATTGATTATCTTTGATAAAGATTGACAATTAGTCATTGACCCTACAAAATATTGAAATCTTGCATGGCCTAGCCCAGCCCTGCCTGTTGCTCGCAGAAGGTATTGGTGTTGATGCGAAAGTATCCTTATATTACTTCTTCGTTTGCTCCTCCGGGGAACACAGCATATGCGTGTGGGTTCCAGCCGCAATGAATAGTGTCGTTTGACGTTCGTACAGCCCACTGTTAGTTTTGTTAAATGTTTGGTCTTTTCTTCAGGGAACATAAAAATAATGTCGTTTCTACTAAACACTGCTCGTTTTGTTGTTTTCATTTTTAGAGAACACGCGGTCGCTGAATGACCACTCAAATCTTCCCATTGTCAAAGAAACGATGTCGTTCGTCGCCTTCACCCACCATTTGAAATTTTAACCAAAAGAACTGTGCAAAGTATGGACATTGGACACTACTCATAAAGTGCAAAATTCAAATAATCGAGAACAGAAAACAACCCTTTAGTTGAATTATTATAAAAGGAATAAATAGAAGAATTAGCAATGTAAATAAACAAATAATGAAAATCAGTTCCACTCGTAGAAAGGAAATGACTTCTTGTATCTTTACCTTCCTTTGACCAATGGATTATTTATTCGAATGCGAATAATGGAAGATTAATATTATTTTTGAAATTTTAAAGGAGGAAAGGTGCTGTCAATGGTTCACGAGGAACGGTGTACGACCTCAAGTTCATGGCAACTGCATGTCGTTTGAAACGAATGGATATTTGTTAGACTCAATAATTCAAAGAGTGTATCTTCTGACATAAGGTAATTTGTGAGTCAACATTATGGGACATGGTTGTTCCTTTCTCGTAGATCAGATTTGCAACCAGATTTAATCGGTATGCCCAACTAGCTAGCTAACATCCAGTCCTACCAGTTAAGACTTAGCTAAGCTGGTGCTTTTGTTTTGGACATAACGCAACGTCAACAACTGAACATTATTTAAAGAAGAATGGTTCTTCAACACACAGACAAGCAAGAGAGGGCTGCATACCTAACACATTTCCATAAATTATTTAGGCCAAACATCTTCCTTTTCGAGTTATAATAATTCAGTCTCATGAATCACAACTAAACAACAAAAACACCTTTTCCGCTTTGAGTTTTTTTGGATAAACAAATTAAAAAAAAAAAACTCCTAAATATGTTTCATATGGTACACAAACACTTCAAATTTGGTAAATATAAGTGCTAATAATTTTTAATATGTCCAATGAAGATTCTTCTCAAAAAAAGATGTTGATTCGCGTTTATTCAATAACATTTACAAGCCGAACCGAGTTCGAGTTTAATTTTTTAAACTCCAACTTGAGTTTTATGCACATAACAATTAATTAAAGCTAAATTTCAAAATTGAATAAGATTTTTAATGATTATTAAATTTTGCGAATTGCAATAGCAATATTACTCCTACTCCGTTTTATATGTTTATTTATTAATAAAATATCTAATTAAATGAATTGGGTACCCAACACCTTTCTCCATTAAATCATGATTAAGAGAATGATCATAGTTCAGATTTGGATTAAACTTTACAATATCCATATCCAATCCGGCAAAAAAAAAAAAAATCCATTGGCCTCCACCTCAAATTAGATCAGTTTATCCGGTTCAAATTCAGATCGGTTGGGGTCTAGTTAATATACATAAAATATCACTAAAAAAATCCTACTTATTATATAAAAAATAGAAAATTAATTAGATTGGATTCGGATTAGCTCGTAGATCAGTAGATATCAATACTCGCCCCCATTTATAAATGGACTGAAAGCTATCTGTTAGATTCGGGTCGGGTCGGATCCTGTTGAAAAATGAGCATTTTACGGTACACATGCTCAACGCCTAAGACATTCCACATCCGTGTGGAAGAAAGACCAGACCATTTAAGGATTTTGCCCTTTAAAACTTTCTCATGCACAAAACAGACATCAAGATTCAAGACTTGTAATTTCACTAGTTATCCAGTGACATCAACGAACGACCTATTTTGGGCCATTTCTCCGGGCCTAAAGCCCTTTAAATAAAGTCTTCTCTTCACAAGCTTGTCTGGCGGGCCTGCACAATATTATAGCCCATAAATTACATACAAGTTGTTACAAATGTGGGCAAATCATATCTAGCGATTGGTTGACAAATAGCTCCAAATCTCTCATGTTAATTATCAGGCAAAGGTGAGCTCAAGCTGCAATTTTGTAACTGAAAAAAGATGACTTCCTTATATATAAAATAAATAGACGAACCAAAAGTTCCATAACATAGAATAAGGGTATCTAGTTCTATACTAATCACCAATTCGTAACGTGTTACATATGTTGGAATATATTTCTAATGGATCTAAAAATTTGTATTGGTAGGGCAGAAAATAGCAAACGTAATGCATATATATATATAAATAATAATAATAATGTAATTAATACATATTACTTACCTATTATTGGGATTTGTTCACCGACAATTCTTATTTTACTCTTTTGATCTTAGATTGTAAAGCTCTTCTGTACGAGCTCATTGGTGTTTCTATTATTTTTGTTTTTAAATCAGAGAATCAATCACTAATTAAGAAAACTGTTTTTATATTTGATAGAATAGATTGGGTATGTGCAACGTCTTTCTTGATTGATGTAATTTATTTTGATGCTAGTAATATAATTTATCAACGCATGACTATCTTCCAAAAAGAAAACAAAAAAGAAAAGAAAAGCTCCTTAAACCTATAAGTTGTAGAATATTATTTATTGCAATATACGAATTAAATTGATAAAATTCTAAAAAATAACAAAAAGGGGTTAAAGTTCATGATTTCCACAGTGCAAACAAGCAACCAAACAATTTCAGAAAATAATACCAAAATAACCTTCAATTATCTTCAAAATGGGTGAAATAAACTTGTAATTGCAACATTCAACTAAACTCAAAACAATCTAACCAAGCTATTTTTCGATTATCTTCAAAAAAAGAGTACTATATATATTTTATAAAAAAATATCTATAATTGCAACATTAGTTCAACGAAATTAGCAAAAAAAGAAAAAAAAAAAAGATTTACATACCTTCCAAAAGAAAGAGAAACATAATTCTTAAAACCCTTTAGGTCCACTCTCCTTCAAAACGACAGGCTTTTCAGCCATAGCAAGGCAATATTTGGCAATCTCTCTAAACTTAGGCACACTCCTTAAATCCACTTTAGTCCCATCTTTCAATGTAATTACAACATCACCCCATTCACCTATAAATCTTGGCACTACTTGCACATCCTTTATCACCTTGTAAGAGAAATCGCTCCTATCTTGCCCCGTCAGTCCCGAAATCACCGTCACCCGCAGGTTCGTAAACCTGTATCTTAGATAAAACGCCCTTGAAACTGCCGCTAAAGTTAACGGTAACCAAAGAAGTGTAAAACCCAGAAGCAGATTCGCTAATAGGTCGCCGTAGTGAGCTCCCCCGTCGAAAAAGATGGTTTCTTCGCTGGGTTTTTTTGACGGAGTTGTTGTGCCGGTGATGGGTTTATTTGCTGGAGAGGAGACGTGAAGTTTGGTGATTGGTCTGTGAACTTTGGAACGGAAAGTGGGGAAAGGGACTTTAGAGGAGATAAATAGAGATTGGTGTGTAATGGATGGCGTTCCGGTGGCTGTGGTGGCGGCGGTAGGTGACAGGAGACGAGAGGCCATGCTGATTATTATCCGTTTTGAGAACAGGGAGGGAAATGGGTGATGGTCAGCGAAGCTGAAAAGTAAGCTTTTGTGACTATGGAGAATTCGGCGTTTCTATTGGCTGACGAGAAATATGTGGGAGCCACAAAGGTTGTAATCAATGGCTTATTAGTATCCACGTGGCATTACCGTGGATCACTATTTTGTTTGGGCTATGGACTGGGCTAAGCCGAAAGCAGAAGATCTGGGTCAATTTCTGTTTATGAACAAACCCAAAAGAATAGATGGGCCATGGTTTGGTTCATGTTTTAGCGTATAATTTTCACCGAGGCTAAAATCAAAATAATAAAAATATATTTAAATATGAATATTTTATTGATCAAGAAGGTCATGATGATCTGGATCTAAAGTTGAGAGACTCATTTTGTTTTGGTCTTTGGTTTCCTAGTTCTAACATTTTTTTTTTTTTTAAACCACCGGTGTCCTCCTAATTCTAACTTTTAGTATGTCTATTTCACTAATTTTTTGAATTTTTGAGGTTAACATCTAGCTTTATTCAATTTGTGTACACACAAAATAGGATATAACTTGGTTTTGATGATTATATATATAATAATTGTGGATTGAAGACTCTTGGGAGGCTAAATTTTTAGTGTCATGCATATGAGTAGAACTTGTATTAAACATATTATCATTTTTTTGGTACATTTTAATATAATTATTACTTGTTATTTTCAAAGATATTTCATAATTGCTTTAATTGAATGAGATTTTTGAAAATAAAAAGCGAAAATTAATTTTATTTAGTCAATTACATCCATGACCCTTAGCTTCATTGGATGCTTGAGGTTTTTTCCAACTCATCAAAGCTACACACCAGCGTGGCCCTAAATACATGAGGAACAAATTTGGCATTCTGAAAGTGAGCTCAAAGAATCACCTAAACAAGCATTTATCCATATCATAGATTAAATAAAAAGTTTATCTGCAACTGCAGCTGCAAGATACCTTTCCAAAATCTAGTAAAATTTTTAATTTAATTTAAATAATATATTAACCGTTGACGGAATCTGCCCATATTAATTAAAATTATACGTCAACATGATCTCAAAAATATATATTAAATATATCAAATTCCAATAATACTAACATAATTAATTATTTTTTGGTATTGCTCATCACATGTTAGATGTCGTCTTAATATTTTTTCGGTTCTAATAATAGCAAACATGCTGGGATTTCTCTGATTTTTGGAGGATTAATTAATTAATTAATTATCATAATCCACTAATGAGTGCTCTATTAATTACAACTGCAGCTTAACTAAGAAATTAATTAATCTCCACTATTCACATGGACACTTAACTTGCTCCTCCTTAATTAGATAATTTTAAATTTGGCCACTATGATTTTTTTTATATATATATATATAATTGTAAACTGTATTTTGGCATCTAAACCTGTCATCAAATGCCAAAATTTCCAGCCTTATTTCCAAAGATTAATATCTGAATTCTGAACATCACATGATCCTATAAAGATACTATCAGTATTTGTGCTTGATCTTCGTCTAATTATCTGGGTCTGGGGTCTCATTTTTAAATTATAAGGGATTTGCAGATTTTATGACATGCTTGCTTTTGTTTTTATCCAATTGGGTAATTTGGGTAATGGAATCTAGTTAATTCTGTTATGACGGTTTGGCGCCAACTAGCCTAAAATCTACCAAAGATATTTTCATTTTGTAATTATTCTATATAATTAGTCATTTAAAATTATGTTCTTTCAGCTAGTAATATTCAATGGATTTTTCTTTTTGTACAGTACTGTAGGAGGTTAGAAATTCAATTCCTGATATATACATTTTTTTAAAATCTATTATTCTCAAAAGGATATATATATATATATATATATATAATCAAGATAAAGATAGTTGAAAAGCTTAAGAGACAAAGTGATCTCATGTTGATGGTGATGTATGTAATACAAATGACAAATGAAAGTAACCCTTTCATGCATATTCATGATTATATATATACAAATTGGAAAGGTACAGTAGTGAGTGACTAGTACATTGGATAAGCATTCATGTATACTAATGGGGACCTACACATACCTGACTAATAACATGCATATACCAGCTCTGAATAATTTTACATATGTATGTATCTTTCAAAACAAAGGGTAAATTACAAATTTTACAAACAGTTAAAAGGGTATTAAGTAAAATCTCAGAGGAGGTAATATAAATAATTAACTTCGTTTTTGTCTCTAACACAAAGGGAGAGAGTGTGATGAAGAAGGACTAAGGAGCAGCAGATAGTACAAGTTGTGGAAAAGCAAGGGAAGATCACATTCAAAGAAAGCAGAGATTGTGAAAAGGAAGTTAGTGGGGATATATATATATATATAAGAAAGAGAGAAAGGACTGTGTTGGATGCTAGGGAGTGGGTGACAGTGGGTCACATGCATGATGATGAATGCTTCAATCAAAGAATCCAGAAGAGGGTGTTTGTTGTTGTTCATGTACATATAGAGAGAAAAAGGAAGAAAGAAAGTATTTATATAAATGGTCAGTGCCAAAAGTTGGGGTTACACATAATATTACATTAGCTTTTTGATGCCATTCCCTTCTTTGTCAGCATAACATAGCCAACGTCCCCTTCACGAGAATGACCATTTCCAACTCTTCTTGTTTTCTTCTTCTCTCCCATTTGTTTGTCCTCTTTCTTTCTTGGAATGTGTGCTTGATACTCTCTTTCTTTCTCCTTTCCTTTTTTCACCACATATGTCTCTTTCGTAATATTGATTAATACATTAAAAATTTCTTTATTAATTTTATTAAAATTGGAATTTGAAGTAAATATTAATATTTGGTCACAACCATTTGGTAATTCCTTACCATATAGTACAAAATGATGAGAAGCGAAGAAATTTTTTTTTTTTTTTTCTTTAGTAATACAAACAAAGACATGATTCCAAAGCAAGAAAACTAAAAATAAATATGGGTAAGAAAGAGAGAATCCCCACCATTTTTTTTTTTTTAATTTCACGGCCCATATTAGTGCTAGGCAGCTCCAACCATACACTAGCAAAATAAAATTTCGCTTGGATTCCAGAAAAATCCAACCTAGTAAACAAACATCCATTGATTCATCTCTCTAATGAAAAAACCAATCTAAGCAAAAAGCTTTGTATATAACTCAAAAGACACAGATAAACCCTTTATTCCTCATCATAAAAAGATCTTAATAAGCCCTTTCCCTAACTTCATCCTCCACCCATAGCTGAAATTTCAACTTGATATAATCCTAATTTATACACCAACCCTAATTAAGTACCAGGACATGGACTTAATTAATTATAAAAATGATAAAGAACAACGAAGCCAAACTTTGGATAGTGGTGTATAATAATTCCAATATGGTCTGGACAGTCGACATCTTAATTAAAATGTTGTTGCTCGAGCCATGGCCAAAACCCAGTTTGATCATCGATGGCACAGAACATATTGCTAAGGCTTTCTTCTTTAACCATGTGGTCAATCTTGTTATGGCATTGGACATGATGATCAGGCCTTGAAGAGCTGTTGGTATGGAAAAGTTGTGCCACACCTGTTGGCCTCATCGATGTAGGTGGAAAACGAGGTCTACTTGTTGGATGATTTGATAATGGACTGTCAATTGCTGGTGTTCTTGAAATATCTAACTTGATATCAGAGCTATTTTCACTTCTGTTACTGCAAGAACCTTCAGTTTCTTTATTCAGGTTAATTGACTCAGTTGGTTCCCTGCTTTTCAGCGCCAATATCTGCACCCATCAATTAACCCATCAGGATTTACTCTTATTTTTATGTGCGCGTACAAGAATAATTTATAATTAAACGTTTGTTATATTGTCCTTTTTCTGAAAAAAAGAAAGAAAGCAAGAAAGAGGAAATGGAAATCTATTATTCAGAATCATCATGACCCTTACTTTCAGACTATGAAGGATCAATCAATCAATTTTTTTTTTTTTTTTTTTTTTTTTTTTTTTTTTTGATCAATTTATTGGTTTGGTTTGAAGCAACCTCTCCAAAAGTTGCACTAATGATAAGAAAAGAAACTTTGCTAAAAAGCCATGATTGGTTCGAGAAGTTAACAGAAATAAAGGTTACAAAAAATCATTACAGAAGAAAAAGTCAAAAAGGAAAATATCATAAAGATGATTATCATCTCCAATTATATATCTTTGTGGTTCCATGCAAAATCTATCAATAAAAGGGATATCTAATGTAGAGAGAAAAAGAAAAAATCGGAAGGCAAAAATTTTAATTAAGCAAATTAAATATAATTATAATTTTAAATATGTATTTTATCCTGCTTGGCTGATCAAGGATAGAAAAAACAATTAAATATATTTATATTAAGACTACTTAAAACTAACCTCTGCATGAAGCTTCTGGTTCTGGGCTTGAAGTGCATCATTATCAGCTTTAATAGCTTCAAATTGTCTTTTAAGAAGATCATAGTCTTTTTCTAGTTGCTTGGTCTTCCATCTAGCTCTTCTGTTTTGAAACCATATAGCAATTTGTCTTGGTTGCAGACCAAGAGCTCTAGCCAGCTGCATTTTTCTTTCAGGTTCAAGTTTATTACCCAATTCAAAGTTTTTCTCAAGTGTCTTTACTTGTTCCATATTAAGCCTTCTTTTCTTCTCTCCTGCCTGTGATCCATCATCAGACAACTCATCTTCTACATTAGCTTCTTCATGACATGATGCATCTATTCCTGAAAATGACATTGACCTCTTCCCTAAAAATGATGCCACCCCTACACCCAAAAAACATAATCAATTAAAATAGTAGAAAATTAAAGGAACTGTGTAACATTTTAGAACCGAACGCGCTTTGCCTCAGTTGGATTCAATTGTCTCTGCAAAGCTTCTAGTTTGAACTCAGATGGGCTTGGCACAATACAGTAATACTGAAGTTGTCTCTTTATAATTGAGAGACTGCTGGTTCCAACCCAGTGGAGCATATTTAACCCAAAAAATAAAAATAAAACAAAACAAAAAAAAAACTTAAAAAAGCTGTTTAGAGAGAGGGAGAGAGTAATACCATGGAAGTCTTGAGGTGTGCATGACGGAAGAATTGGATTGAGAGAAGTGGAATTTTGATGATCTTCTTCATGAGGAGTTTGAAGCATAAAATTTGCTGGGAAGAAAGCCATCCCATTGCAAGTCATGACCTAATAGTTAAGCTATGCTTGTGATACCAATCTTAAAAACTATGGCGATGATTATGATGATGCTGTTAATCTGGCTGTCATATTGGAAGACAGACAGAAAGAAAAGATGCAGTGCAGATGCTCAGATAGGCAGAGCTTAGTACAGGAGGAGGAGGAAAAAAGAAAAAGGAAAAGAAAAGAAGGAAGACTTGATCTGTTGATATCAGAGAATTCCAAAAAGATTAAGCCTTTGCCAAAATAAAAGGAAAAAAAGAAAAGAAAATTTCTAAATGGGAGAATATGCAAAAATTTGGTTTGATGAATATAGCTTATATACCTTATCAGTTCCTATGATGGTTATTTCTCCTTTATAGTTAATATTTTCAGAGGAAGAGAAGAGGATGGGAGAGAGAGTGAGAGAGAGAGAGAGAGAGAGAGAGAGAGAGGTGTATGATGATAATTCTATAGTGCCACTTCTCTTTATATGAAGAAGGGAAATTATTATTTTTTTATGTGTTATTTACTGTTAAAGAAAAGAAAAGAAATATTCCACTCTCTTTGGCAAGAAAACTGTAAATGGGGTGATTCTCCTTGGAAGTTGTTTTGAAAAAAAAAAAAAAACAAACCCTTTGTTTTTATTTTTCAAAAAATATTCCATTTTTTAAAAATTAAATGTGACAGTGATATCTTCCCCATAAAAAGGTAAAGAAAGTGATGACTATGATATGTGAAATGAAAAGGCAACTTGCTGATCCATGTTAATTATTTGTAATTCTAAGAAAAATTAAATTAAATTTTCATGGGAATGCTTCTAAATTACCTATCAATTAATATTATAATCTCAGTCATTTTCCTTTGTATAATATTAATCTTTCTTTACTTCCATACTTAAAGGGGAAAACCAATGTTTTTATTCTTAACAAAGACAGTTGTCTTCAAGTATAAATTTAAAAATAGTAATACAATACATACATATAATTAAGAAGAACCACACTCACCATTACTTCTCAACTAGTTAGCTTCAATATTATATATATAAAAGGAGGGCTTTGATCAGAATTTCTTAATTTAATTAATTATCTATTAAACCCATAAAAAGTGAATTAAATGAAATGGAAAAAGAGAGGGGTCTCTCTCCTCTCCATGCATGATCCCTTTAAACTAGACCCTTCAAATGGGGGTGGGTGTTTTTATAGGAATAGTGAGAGTTTCTTGAAGGAAAGGAGCTTTTTTTTTTTTTCTTCTTCTTTCTTTTGTAGTTACATATATATGAGTGATCTTTTATGTTGTTTTGTTGGTTCAGCGAGGAAAGAGAGAGAGAGAGAGAGAGAGAGAGAGAGAGAGAGGTTACTTGAGGGAAAAGAGAAATGAGTTGGCTGTATCTTAATAGGCTAAAGAAGGATTTGAAGGAAATGGAGAGAAGCAGGAATCTAGGGATGGGTCCAAGAAGAGGGGCAGGGTTTGCTACCTAACCCACCAACAGCTATCGTGGATTAGGACGAAGCTCTTTCCCATGATCCCATCCATATTATCCTTTCATCACTGTTTTTTTTTTTTTTGAGCTCTTTTCTTTTCTAATATTTTCTTTTTCCATTGTATGTGAGTGTGTGCAATGACTTTATTTATATATAATATTATGTGTATTTGAGATTTCTGAGAGTGAAAGATACAACAGATTCTTGAAAACCCCCAACCTATATCCCTGTAGTTATAACCCTACAAGAGCTGGTCTTTTTTGTCTTTCTGGCCCTCCATTCTCTATCCCACTGCCACAGTCTTCCACATTTTTTTTTTTATAATTCTAGAAATTAAATTATTTGTATTATTACTGTAAATATATAGTCTAATATCTGTTCATATAGAATATAAAAAATAAGAATTACACTGTTTAAGTATTTTGATATCAAAAGAGAACAAAATCAATTGTACTATTGATGAATGGACTAATGAGTGGCAATTATGCATACATGAGAATCTTCTATACTCATTCAACTTCCTCAAATTCATCTTTCTTTGGATTTACATTTTAAATTACCTATAGCTCATATTATTTTATTTTATTATTATATTATGCTGTGGTAGACATGCTTCTTCTGTACTATATATATATATATATAGTATATAAGACTCTTCTTCTTCTTCTTCTTCTTTTCTTTTCTTTTCTTTTTTTCTTTAATTTTTTTTTAATATCTATCTTTCAAAACCATGCTTCCATTTGTCCCTCAGTTTCTTTCAATTCCATTACTTTCATATGTCCTCTTTTTTATTCACAAATGTATTGCATTTGCGATACCACTGAGATCGATCAATTAACTTGAAATAAAATTAAACAATATGGTAAATATGGCAACGATCTACATTAATTAATATTTTATTACACGTTGGTGCAAGGTTAAATGTGTCAGTAGATTATATTCCTAGCTAATATAAATTAAAAAAATAATTAAATTAAATAATTTTTAATTATTTAATAATTAGTAGTCAAATATAATGCGATAAATTAATTACTGAATCCTTTTTTTTGCATTCGAAAGTTTACCATTCATGGGGAAAAAAAATCATATACGACCTAAACAGTTAATGGTACTAAATTGATGTAAATATAAAATGTGTATTAATTTTCACCTTTTTCGCCTTAGGAATAATACTAATCTTCTTACCAAATTGTTCTTTTCTAGGCTCGATATTTATTTTTTAATTTTTTCTATCACAAATATTTTGAAACTAATTTTTATATTTTGAGAGATTAAGGGGTCATCTTTTCTATTTTACTGAAATTTTGTTCCACCTTTAACTTATTAATTTAGATAATAATTAAATAAATTTATTTGTCTAAGTTAAATTAGTAAATTGTCAATCATATGTAGTTTGATTGGACTTCCCACGTATTTCTTTTTTCAAATAAAATTAAACTCTGGAGTCCTGATTAACAAGACAAGAAGCAACCTGAAATTGTAAACTGAAATAATCCTTGGAGTCACACACAAAAAGAGTAACTCTGAGTAACAGTGAATGAAACTATTAACCTCGCACCACAATGATCAAATACTATCATCCTTTTTATAGTTCTGGAATCAAGAATCAAAATTTAACAACTTTATTTTATTTTTTCTGTCAAGAAAATTCCAATCTGTCATTGAAAAAAAGTTCAAAAATTTACTGAAGCAGCTTTAACAGGAAACAGGGCCCTATTCTCCCAATCTGTAATTCAGATATAGCTAGTGTCTATATTTACCCATTCTCATGAAAATGCGTGTGGAAAAAAAAAAAAAAAAAAAAAAAAAAAAACCAAGAAACATATGAAATTTACAGTACTGTTACAGTAAATCGCAGTTGAGAATAATTTTTTACCCCTTGTCCTTGCTTGTGCTTGTGAGAAAGAGACATTTAGAAGAAATAAATATGGAGTGATAATACTTGAAGTTAATTGTTTCATCCATCAGACAGAAATAGACTCTTTTGAGGCTAAAATTATTACTTCTACTATATGAGGGTCTAAATAAATAGAAGGAAACATAAAAATTTTTTACTTGGAAATTGCAAATGTAATAAAAATTGAAAGAGGTAAAGATATTCATCAATCAAAGAATGAAGTTGTACAAAATTGCTATATAGAATTGATAGTAGGAATCACAGTTGGTGTAAGATCTTCAGAAACCTCATAGATATATCTAATCAAACCCACTTGGGTTGGGTTCACTATTCCTTTTTCATACTACTACTTCCCCCTTTTTCGTTTTCCCTTTATCATATGTCATAGCAATGGAAAGAAAGGAGACACTTTGGACCCATGAAAAGAATTTAGTATCCAACATACGGTCCCAAATATAGTTAATGTAGCCACAAATTTTTAGATGATGTAATTAGAGAGGTTGGCCTTTTTTTCTTTTTTAGAGTTTCTCCGATTAGTCTTTCATGTGATTGAATGTTAGAAATGAAGGTTGGGATTTTAATATTGGGAAACCAAAACCATCATTCAATTTCTAGGATTCTTTAGAAAATATTCGGAGTGCTCCCACTCATATTCATATATTAAGATTTGCATTTTAGTTATTATAAATTTCACTTTTAGTTCTATCTCGCAAAATTAATTATTTTACTATTGTTTCATTAAACGTTTTTATAATTCATTCTTTTAAACTCTGAACACTAATATAAGTAGTATATTACGAGACGCTATAAATGAATAGATTTGTTTTATTTTTTTCCTCTCTTTGGTGGACAGTTGCTCATTCATGAATGTGTCCAGCAATGTCCCATACAGAGCATCTAATTAGAGGATAGCTAGCCAATGGCTACGTCACATTTCTTCTGTGCATGTACACATTTTTGGGTGGATCACTTTCTTTCGAAGCTATATTAAGATAATTTAACAGATTAAGCAGTGGATTTTGGTGGGTTTAAGGAGAGGAGAGGAGGGCGTGCATGGGAATTGGGAAAGGAAGCAGAAGATTTTAATATATTTGTAAAAGAAAAGAAAAGGAGTCATCAAGAAAAGTGCATATTTCTTGATTGGAAAAATCATTAGCTAACAAGGTTATTCTAATCTACAGCGGGGATGTATCCAAAAGGAATGGGTAGGACCCACTGATCTGAGTATTGGGCTGGGTTGGGGACCCACAAAATACTACTTTAAAATTGGGAACAAGACAAGCCACTCTCGCTCCATCACATGACTTTATTAGTTGGAAGCTGTAGGGTACCCTGTTGGAATGGGTGGATCCATGTTCTTGGCCAGTTTTTATTTTTATTTACTTTTTTTTTTTTAATTTTGGTTTTTTTTTATTATTTCTTTATATTCGTATAAAAAAAAAAAAAAAAAAAAAAAAAAAAAAGAGAAAGACCCTGAAATGAATCTTCTCCTCCACATGCCCTTATGCTTAGAGGGTGATCAGACTTTCACTGATCCCATGTGCCCTCTCTGGATGACGTCACTCCCTTTCTATCTTAGTTCAATTTTTTTTTTTTTTTTAAATTTATATATATATTGGGGCCAAGGAAATGCATTGATAGTGATTTGTCAACTACTGGATCTGTTATGTTTTTATTATTTAAAATTTTGCTCGTGGTCATGTTTAACTTTTCTCAAAGAAAGATGGCCCATTAATCAGAACCGTTCGTTCAGCATGACATTTCATGGATTGGCTACAACTGGAAATTTTGTTATTTTATTATTGAAAAATGTTATTAATTTTAATATAAATAAAAATAAGGGCATACCATACATTTCATTTAAGTTTGGTGTTACGTTTGGATACCAATTGTACATATATATATCCATACAATTGCACTAATTGTTATTTGGACCTATATGAGACCATCAAATTCGATAGTCAGTGCAGTTATGCATATTGCAGACTATGATGTTTTCAATATTTTTTTCATTTTCCCATCAATTTCAAGTTTGGGTTAAATCAGGATATTTCAATATAGACTAGATTCTTCGAGCCAAGTTGATACAATAGCAGCAAACAGTTTTGATTTGCAGAGTTTGACAAGGTTACAACTTTTTTTTTTTTTTTTTTTTTTTTTTTTTTTTTTTTTTTTAATTTGAGTTTAACTAGAAATGTGACATTTTCTCTTAAAAACAAGTCAAAACTTATTTGTCAATAACAATTTCTTTAAGAAATAAAATTATAACTCAATAAGTCGTAAAGCTAATAGATGAAAGATGATATAACAATGATTAAATGTTTGTCGGATAACGATAGAAATAAAAGAGGTTTCAATTGTAATTTTTCTTATATCCCGAAAAATACATACTCTATCTTTCTCAAAATATAAATCGTTTAATATTTTTGCACAAGGATTAATAGAGTAATTAAACCTCTTAGATTATAACAAACTTCGACTAAATTATCCTTCATTGAAAATCAATAGTTGCTTGTAAAATATTTATTGTATTTAATGTAAATAAGGGCAACATTGAAAAACCTCATTTATTATTTTTTGAAATACACAAAACAATTTGTATTGTGAGACAAAATAACAAATCAAAAAAGACTTCTATCTTGAAATAGAGGGAGTTTATAATAGCAGCCACTCAAGAAGACTTCTTTTTTTGTTTCCAAATATGGTTGGTTAACATATTATTTTGAGTTTATTAATATTCTAAAATCAATTAATTTATTGTCTATAAATATGCTACATAACACATTACTATCCTTTTATATATATAAGCAGAACACTTTCATCATTTCAAAATAAAACAATATACTTAGAATTCTGAGCATTATTAATTATTACTATTTAATCCATAAATACAACATGGTGTAAATTGAAGACATTCATATACGTTGAAAACAAAAATTTCCTTAGTAAAAAAAAGCGCACACACACACAAGCACAAGATGAGGGGCATTTGAAAAATTAGAGGTCAGTTATATTTGACCAAAGAGACTAAAAGTAGAAAATAAAGAGAAGCAAAGAAGTAAAGGTGATGGCACCACCACCACCACCACCACCACCATCACCTTTCAAAATGCCTTTACAAGGAAGCGTGCCACTTTTACAGGTGAGTCTCTCCAGAACGAGTAATATTGACTAGCACAACCCAACTAACACCTATTGATAGAGATATTATATCTATTTTTGTTTTCGTTTTGTTTTTCTTATCTAATCCATTTTTTTCCCTGCCTTTGTTCAGTAACAAACAGCATAATTTCTTATATTCAAGAACAGAATCTATTTTCTTTTTACAAAATGTTGAATCCTCACGAACACTTGGATTTTAATACATTATTTCAATGGCTTTTCATCATGTCATGCATGATTTGAACTGAGGTAAGAAATAATTTTTTACCCCTTTTTAAGCAAACACATTGCATGAGAAAAAGCTATGAAAAGCCAAAAGTAAATATGCACGTAATGCGATCTTATCTATTTAAAAGTAATTATTAAATTATTTTAAAATTTTAAACATGGAAATGCATATTCAATGTGCATAGCTACACCACCAAGAAGTCAATATGATTAGCCACTTTTAGTACAGTGTGGAATAGCAGACAGTATGTATGCATTTCTTCGGCCTTTCAGGTTTTCACCCTGCTACCGAGCAGCGCAATGGATTTCTTACAACAATTTCAGATATGTGAAGGACACTTCTCGTTTTATTTTACTTGGGAAGACAATTACACGTGTAGGACTCGCTTTTCAACCACCTTTGAGTTGAGATTTAAACATTTTTACAGTAATAGCTTAAGGTTAACTATACTTACTGATTAAACTTGTTTTAGTTTAATTATTTAAATAAAATTATTTACTCCATATAAGCCATAAAGAAGTACGTCGCAAAAATCCGCTAAGAGAAACCAATAGAGACCTGGAGGAAGATAAACCCCAAAACCATATACACAAGGGCAGGTTCATTTCTTCTAAGGAAATGTATGATTTTGGGGAATATAGTATTAGTAAGTAATCACATAAATGTAGATGCTAATCTTATTCTTATGTCTTTGTCATGTCTTGTCCAGAGTCGATGTAGTAGCATATGCTTGTGTTCCTCTATCCGTATCAGTGTGTCATAACCAATAGCTGGCTAAGGTGGCCCAATTAGCATACCAAGACCGACATTATGAAAATGCCCTAACTACCCAATTTACAAGCGTTAATTCAAAATCAAAATTTAAATAGAATGTGAATCACCTATTTCCAAAATGAACTCAAAAATGAATCACAATTCATTCTGGAATGTCTATCTCAACTTTGCAATTGTAACTTTCTATTAAAAGGGAAAATAAAAAAATAAAAAGTTCAGGCTAAAAAAGATAAGCATAATTGAAAAATAGGATAGGAGTATCTAGAAGTCCACGCTCGAGCTATATTATTATCAAGAGGAGGTTGTCAAGATTGACAAGATTTGGGCCAGATGATAACATCAGTGTGCGTCAAACTAATGAAGGATCTAGCTTACCTTATTAGCAATCATGGAGAAGATGTCACCATCGCAAGTTGGAAAACTTTACACTGTTTGACCCACGCATTCCATTCAGCCAGGCCCCAACACAAACTCGTGCATCACATCTGAAGTGATAACCCTATATCTACTGCAACAAATGGCTTATAACACCAGGTAACAGAACAATTATATTATTATTTTATGAAATATAGGGTTGCGTTAGACTTAGTAGGTGGGTGTGGGTGTGGGTGTGTACAGAACAGGCATAAGGATTGTAGTCATAAATTTTAAGATACCAGAAGACAGCAACAAGAGCCAGGTTCAAGTATTAAATCGAATTTTATTTTGATGACTACATGAGCATTGAACCCTTACATCTCTAATTTATTTAAAAAAGAAAAAGGTGCAATCTGAGAAAGTGAACCTATGATGATCGGACTTCTAAATTAAGATGGCACGATAAAGCATTATATTTATTTGTATGCGTCTATAGGATTTTCAACTCAAATGACAATTTACACTAATAAAATACACACCTACAATGTAGGGAAAAAATGAATGAATTGGAATAAGTATTTCAAATTCCTAATGTGAAAATTATACGTACGTATGATTGGAAGAACCGCCTCACCGGAATTAGATGATCAAGCAAATTCTTGTCCTTGAGGATCTTATGTAGGTTCAAATGTCAATTAATTAGTGTTTCAGTTGTTAGCCAATATGAAAACCAGATGACTTGAATGAACTATTTGAAAGATTTGGCAGCTTGAGAGTAGCAATGACACCAGCAGCAAGGGCGCACACAGAAGCAAGGACAAAGGCAGGTATATTGCCACCACCAAACAGAGCATCCCATGGACCCGCACCGAGAGATATAATCATCTGAAAAGACCAAGAATCCATATGAATTAACTTCACTAATTAACTGGAACAAATGGAAAAATTAAATATAGTGAGGAGAAAATAAGTTGACTGACTGCCACCAGCAAGTTAAGATAGAAGGAAACCAACATTGTTGATTTCTTTCCCAAAAGACAAGAATACTACAACCTAAAATCAAAGAGAAGAATCATGAAAGTTCCCAACAAATCACTTTGATCTTTCTAAACAAAATGATCACCGGATCAAATATTATTAAAGAAATGCCTTCATTCCATATACCAATTCAATCCAGAAAACAGGTAAAAAGAATACAGTGCAATCATCTACCTGCGGAATAACTATAGCAAGATTCAGAACTCCTATAGCCAATCCTGTACAGTAGTAAAATTTATCAGGATTCAGTCTGCTTCACTTGGTAACTACATAAATGGAGAGAGATCCTAGATAAACTAACTGCCATACAAACCTTGGCCTCCGCCTGAATTAGCAGTCAACTCTGCGGTGACAGAAAATGGAACACTATATGTAACCTGCAAGAAAGAAACAAATAATTAACACATGCTTTTGAGGGAAGAAATCGTAAAGTTCTGCAACATAATCGATACGTACAGCAAGAGGAAAGCCAAGAAGAGCAAATACAATCAACGCAGCTATCCTGATTGATGCACTGCCCCCAATTACATGCTCAATCCCTCCAGAATATTGACCAACCGATATCAAACTAATGATAGCAGTTACTGCCATGGAGGCAAATACAATAAAATTGCTCATTGCCCATACAAGTCTTGGCCCTATCCTCTGACACATTGGTTCAATTAAGAAGGAACTAATGCCAAGAACAACCTAAAACAAAAGAAACAAAGAGTAAATAAAAATATAAGTAATGAGCTTGTTTTAACTTGAACAAGCCCCTGGAGCAGATGCTCACATGTTAACATGCTTTATTTTTTTCATCTCCTCACATTTCGTTATCCCTTTTTCTTTCACCCTTCTCTTAGCTATATTTTCTGTTCTTTCCCCTCTAATTTGCCTCTTTTTATTACTTTTTAAATCTTTACATAGTGTGTTAATTCCCCTACTTTCTCTTGAATCTAAAGTCCCTGTTCTCTTTCTCAAAAAGAGACATGTATCTCAAATTCTCAATTGTACTCATCTTTCTCAACATGTTAAATTTTCCAATTTTAAAATTACTAAATTTCAGACCTCTCTTTTAAAAAAAATATCTTTTGCAAGCCTATTCATACTTCCATGGTATTGCTTTAATCATATTGTAACTGGGACTATCCCTAAAGTTGAAACTAATCAGGCATGGCTTATATAATAAAATAACTAAGTGTCAAAAATATCAGAGAAAAATAGAATAACTGATGCTCAATTTAGAGTCCTTACTGAATTCAATAGCAAACCAAATGCACCATCTCTGACACCTTGATCATACAACTTCACTTTATCAGAATCCCCTTTTGGATCCCCATGATAAACTTCTCTACCCATCCAATCCGTATCAAACAGAAAGAAAGGAAACCAGGACAACTACAGCAGTGAAAATCAAGAGAAGGATAAAAAAATTGTAAAAACAAAAACTCAGCTTTAATCATAATAGAATATTAATAGCATGCACTATCAATAAACAGGTGATGACCCTAGGCAAATCAGGAACCATAGAATTGTGAAAAATTAGTTAACAGTCAATGACATGCTTACCCAAGTAAGAGCCATTACGACAAGCACAGAATGCATTCCAGGGGGTAAATGCCGTAAACTAGTCAACAAGTTAACTAATACTGCTCCAGGCCCATCACCAAAACTTTCATTTTGATCCTCATTAGAGTTGGCAATGGTATGCTTTGAATTCATATTTGGTTCAAGGCCGTTGCTGATGTTTTCCCTATCGTTTTTTATGTTTTCCCAGTTAGAATTACTGGAAACTGGCATGTCCAACTTAGATTTTGGAAGTTCAAGACTGTTATCATCTAACAATGGAGCTGAATCTGATAAATGATGCCCCTGATTTTTAATAAGTGGAACCTCCTCGGCAAAATATAGAGTCACAAGAGTGCACAAAGTCAAGAAGACCTGCACATATGCCAAATAAATTATGGGACTGATGTAAAATGCTAATGCAGTCTCACCTATCAACAAAATAAACACGATTTAAAGATGAATAAAAGAAAGTTTCTAAAGCTACCTTCACAGGACACCCATAAGAATAAACTTACTTAACACTCATCACAGTAAGACATTCAGTAATTCAAGATCGTTTAGCAAAATACAATCCCAATCATGCTTCTTTTTAGTAAACAACTTAGCATACACGTGCTCCTTGCATCTTCTTCTTACAGTAATTTTATTTTACCAATCTGTCATTTTTAATTTCTTGTATTCTCTCTCTCTAAGTGGTTCCCAACTATTTCCCTCTTTAAAGTATGCACGCTCAACTGTTCCCTGTATCCTACTTCAAACAGTATCTTTGACTTCATCATTTTCTTATTTGAGCCAAAATTTAGTCCAGTTCCAACCAATCCTTTCATTTGACATTCTTACTCTTACCTACATTTTTTGCAGATTTATATCATTTTCCTATGGTTATATAAGTAATTTCGCAACAAGTTAAGATGTCAATTTCAAGGAGATTATTCAGACATCGGAACCTTAAATAGCTAATGTAGTTTTTCACTCTCAGGAGGTCTTCAGGAAACCCAAAACTTTGCAACTCAAGCATGTTGAAGTTGCATTACAATAATTTTCTTCAACAAAAGAACTGGTTCTGAACATAATTGATTCTGCATCCAAAAACGCAGGAAAAATCCAACAGAAGTTAGCCTTTGAATTTGTGAATTCATTTGTCTCAAAGATTTTTTGCAGAGACTTGCTCACTGAGATTACATATACATTGGTTCCAAACAGAAAATGAATACCAAAATTTGCAAAACCCTTTCTTCTGTAGAATCTTATATATGTCTAAACCAAGAAAAGTCATGACTTAAGCCACACTACTGCAACTAAAATAGAGAAATAACATTTTAATAGCTTTTAACCAAACAAAAGCGCAATGGAACTCACTACTGCAACAAGAAATGCTGCTTTCAGATTTCCACAAGCTTCACAACAGGCTTTACTCATCAAGAAAGGAAACCACCTGCTTGGGAAGATAATATCAGATGAACAAATTAACCCAATATCGTGCAGAAATTAAATACTGTCAACATTATAATGATACTGATCTAATTATAAACAGCAGCACCCAGTTCATCAAAAAATCAATATTTTCTTAAGGTTAAGATAGGTGATGATGCCAAATAGTTCAGACTCAGAGGAAGGTGAACACCACAAAAAGTTAAGCACAAGCATGTCTGTTTACCCATCTAATACCATAAAACTGTTTCATAAGTTTTACCTGTTCCAACTCCCACTAGCACCAGCAGAAAATCCTAAAATGTTTCCGACAGCCATCCATGAGCAAAATACAGCATTTGCTGAATTGCGTTGATCAGGACCTTCAATACAATAACAACACATCCATCATGTTTAGCACTGTCATGCATGTGGTACAGAAAACCCAAGATTGAGAGATAAGCAGCTAGATAGCAAAACAGTGCTAAATCTATTATAAGATTAATAAAATTGGAAAAACTGAAATGCACCTGATAAATCAGCCAGTAGGGCACGAGCAGGTCCCTACAAATATTAAAAGACTCAGTATTTGACGCTTATACAAACAAAGCCATATAACACAACCTTTCATAAAGAAGCATAAAGAAGTAAGAAAGAGGCACAATTAGCTATTGTAATATGCTGACCTGCACTGTATTATTAGCAAGATCTAGCAACCAGAAGCCAAGAATAAAAACAAAAGCCGCCCTGGTTCGAGTTCCCTTAAATGTTCTGCAGTTACATAGACGAGATAGTAAGTCTAAACTTTCAAGCCCATGTTTGTGGAACGAAATACAACAAATTGAGAGAGGGAACATCAACCTGCAATGCTCCTTTGTATCACCCAATATAGATCCAATGTCTGCAGAAAATCCGATTATTATCACCTAAATTACAACACTTAGTTCAGCTGATAGAAAGCACGGTACAAAAACGGATGCTAGACTCAAAATTGAGATTTATCAATACTTACAGCAACTGAGATCATGAGAGATCCAGCAAGAATAAATGGCCGTCTTCTTCCAAATTTTGAAGAGCATTTGTCACTCCAAATTCCAACACAGGGTTGAACCTAAAAATTATGGTAGATGGAGAAACAATTTGAATCAATTGTTTATTGCTAAAATCATTTAGAACTATATTGTTTCACATCCATCACAAAGCAACATTCCTTATGAAGAAGAAAAAAAAGCACAAACAGTATGATCATAATCGTCTTAAAATGCCAAGCATCCCAAATTGCATGCTTTCACGCATTTGCAGCAAAGCTGCAAAATATATTATAGTTACCATTTGACTTCCTATTGCAAATGAAAACAAAAATAATATAGGTTAATTTGGAAATGAAGGTATAATCCCCTAATGATATTGGCACTTTATCTTAGGATAACACGAAGGACAAGGAACATTATCTACTATAGTAAAATGGTAAATACCTTGGCTTGCAACCAAGGAGGCTGCTGGCGCAAGGTGAGAGTGATCACCTTACGAAAAATGTCAAAGGGGAAAGGCATCTCAGATGTTCCTTCCCCAGCACCTACTTCTAAAAGACCACAACTAGGTCATATATTTTCCCTTTTTTTCTTTTCTTTATTTATTTTTTTTTTTTTTTTGCTTGTTTGAGGATGATGGTAAAAACAAAATCGAATATAGAACGTCTCTGCTCCTGACCAAACTTCTTAACTTAAATTCAGTGTAGACATAAGAATAAACTTTATCCAATTAAAGCGACCAAAAATCAGATAATGTTTGTACACAATAGAACTCCACGACAATATAACTTAACATGCACTAAGGCTACATTAGAATGTAATAAATGCATTTCTAGTGTAAACATTACAGAATTTGATTATATATTAAACTCTACTATGGCTTTACCAGACGTAGCCTAATACATCATTGGAGATCTCAATTTCATCTAGAAATTAACTTAAGTGCTCAAACAGGAAATTCGTAAAAAAAGTAGAGGGCAAAATGGATGGTTCACTGTCACCTACCACAAGCCCTGTTATAGGTCCACAAAGCCAAATAAATGAGGAAAAGGCATGTTCTATACCCAGTGTCTGCAACAATTTTGAAAAAGAAGAGCATTTAACCAAAGCACACACCAAAAAAATGTATAATCTCACAAAAAACTCAGAAATATTAGACATAATCATAAAATTGCATAGCACTAAAGTAAAATGAACAATGACAGATGTTAGTTGCATCTGCGTAAACTGATCAAATAAATAAACTTCACCATGATATCTTGGAAAAGGAAAAAATAAATCCTGAGACTTTCAATATCATGTACATTTTCCTTAACTTGGAAAAGTTTACAATCGGCTGATCTTTTATTTTACTGAGTGTTGTATTTGCCTGGTAACTCAAAAATCATGTCTATAATTGAACTAAGCATGCTAAACGCAGCAGATCAACAGGCAACTATTAGCTATATTTGAAGACTGCAGGAAAAAAAAAATACACCTAAGTAATAAAGCAGTGACTTATAATTCTTACTTCCCTTAGCTTGAGCAAATGCTAAAGCTTCATGTCACCAAAAATTAAATTACGGATATAAGAAATAAAGCGATTATACGTTCTCAGAAATATAATTCCTCAATTGCATACCAAACATTCCCAATCTCACATAAGATCAGCCAGTTCCAAAGCAAATGCCATTCATCTCTTAAGTATTGGATTCGCAAAATACAGCTCGAAATGCTATATTACCTAACCTGAACTGCGCATACATGTTCATAACTAGAAAAGGCAATATGAACAAACGTGTTCATAGGATTGAACAACGATCTTTCACTTACCTGTATATAAGGAGTTAGGAGAGAGAGCTGCAAGGCCCAACCGAATTGAACGCCAGCGGCTACCGTACAGCTGAGAATGAGAGTAATCAAGCTATAATGTTTAGATCTGACCTCGATCGGAGACGAGAAACTGGAGTGGCCATTAGGCATCTGAGAAGTAGAATTCAAAGAAGAAGAAGAGGAAGGAGAGTCCAAATGAATACGATGGTTATGCTGCTCTTCTACACCAATCATTTCCACCTCCACTTCCTTCTTGAGGTTCCTGTAAGGAACCCGAATCGATCCTGTGTCCATCCTCCAAAGAAATGCCTAGAACTCGTTTACAATCTCGATAATTTCCTTCTTTGCATTTAAAAAGTAAAGGAGATGTTAAGTTTATACTTCTATAGATCTGATTATACGCTTTAGAAGAGACAGAATGAAGTACAGAGACTTCTCAGGTAAGCAAACCGGGTCAAAATTTGGACGGTTACGACCCTGTAATTCTGACGATGAGAGTCCGGCATAGAATTACCATTCGGTGCGCTGCAATCGCGTCGAGAGTCCTGTCAACTTAATGAGCCATTTTTTTGTGTTTGTTTGAGTAATTATCATGTAAGGTGATGAGTAACCTCGAATTAAAGTGGCTAAAATTTGGTGTAATCTGGACCGTCTATGAAAATTAGATCTGGTGATAGAGTCGCCATTACTTTTCTACAAAGGATTGGTGATGTCACACCCACCGACACGGCATTTGTTTAGTGGAGTGTGAGTCGAGGTGAGGCCACTTAGCATTTCGATTTTGGAGTCTAAAGTGATCTTAGGACAACATAAATTTATATTTGAATTGACTAACTATTATTAAATGCTTTGTTGCATCAATCTTTCTATTGGTTGCCGGCTTCCAACATTCCAATTTGGCTGCCAGGAATTTTGTATTATTCGGCTGAATGGGCCTATATGATAGTTTATAAAGAAACATAATTTTTCTTCATTTGCTAGCATAGTCATTATTTCCTTCGCAATTTACGAATCACCACTAAATTTTCACCGAGCTTTTAAATCAAAGAAAGAAATTGAGAAATCTTTGCCATGAGAAATTGAGAAACCTTTTAAATCTCTTATTTCCCTCCTTGGATTAACCAGCAAGTACTATACAAAGTATAGAACTATCAACTAATATGTTACACTCTCTACATAAAATTTCAACACCAATCTAAGTTAAACACGTACACTTCACTGTTGAACACCCCGACTGCCCAAATCAGCAGCAGCTTTGGCCGCCCGATGCAAAGCATCTGACATCCAAAGTGCTCCCTTAGAGAAGTAACTACTATTTACCACAGAGTTCGCCGCAGCAGCGGCTGTTCTACCTGTTGCTGATACAGCTGATTTGGTAATATCAGAGACATGGTACTTCTGATCCACAGCTTTAACAGCTTCCATGCCCGCAAAAATCTTGTCAGCAAGGCCAACTCGCTCTGTTAGCTCGGCAACCTTAGCTGCAGCAGTTGCACTAACTTGATGAGACTCATCAAAAGTTTTTGCTTTCTGTAATGCATCTTTTCCGAGTATATATCCCTTTGCCAGCATAGTTTTGACAACATCCTGAGCCATGGTCATTGCTTCTCCAGCACTAGGGACATATTGACTTCTTTGTGGCAGCACCTACAGAGTGAAACATTAAGAATGCTAGATTGACAAATCTACTCGTAGATCATAATGTGAGCACAAAAATAGACATATAAGGCATACATTTGATTCAGTTCCATCTTCAACCACTGTTGAAGCCCTGTTCCAAAAATCAAATTCATCTACATAGTGCCCCCAGCGTGTTATGCACACACGTTGGTCCAAAATTGTAGCACCCTAGAATCATTAGAATAGGAAGAGGATACACAGACAAATAAATGTTTAGTCAGAAAATCGTCAGCACAGAAGGAAATACAAAATTAAAGCAATTAGATAATTATTTCATACAGACTACACAAGGATAAATAGGAAAAATGAAGATAAAATAAGAATTGAACCTGCACATTTCAATGGAAGAATTAATAAACTGCATAGAGCACCATAACAGTTAAGTCCATGTTAGATGACAACACACATTTCAAAGTATAATTCATTATCAAAGGCATCTTTTTGCAAGTTTTATATACCAGTGAGATTGCCAGCAGAAACACACACAACTATTCCTATGGGTTATTCATGAAACATTGAATTAAACCATACTCAGCAAAAAATGCAGATAAAATTAGTCCAATAACAAGCAATTGCAAAAATACTCACACTGAGTAAGACAGCAGTCTCTTGACCATATGAATCTTTGAAAGTCACATACGCAGTACACGCATATTCTCCAGACCTTTTACATCCACATAAAGAATTTTCCCATATCAGAAAATGGCAAACTACTAATTTGATTAGAGGGTTAAAACATTACATACCTGACTATTTCAACATGTTCAATCACACCTGAGAAGGAGAAGAACTCATAGAGATCCTTCTCAGTAGCTTTGGGAGAGAGGCCAGTAACTTCTACAGTATACCCACCTTGATTCATGTTACTAAAACCTGAAATATAAAATAAAAACTAGAAATTATGACCTCAGCTCTACTCTAGTTACAGAGCTTATCTAAAATAATTGATAAATCAATAATAATAGTTCGATAATGAAACTTAAATGCGCCTAAATTCGTCCAAACCGAACCCTAAACTCAGGTGTTAATCACTCAGTTCATAGGAAATTCAACAAACAATTTGATTCACAAGTTAAAATTTTGGAAAAGCAGTAGAATCAATTACCTGTTTTGGATCAGAGGAAAGAGAAACTGACGATGGAGTGCTTTGGGTCGAGAGAGGAGAATGAGAAACCTCCAGATGAAGCAGACAACGCGCGTCAGACCAGAATTTCACTGTAAGATTTAGTTAGGTATTGTGGCAGTTACAACTTACACCAGGCTTGCAATCTGGTCTTGGGCCTTATACCCGCTCCACAGCCTACGGATCTGATCCACTCGCAAACTGTCTCGTTTGTGTCTTTCCTAGTGGTGTGGTTAATACTTAATAGTTTTGACCATCAGTTAAATATTTAAAATAAGAAACCTTCAAAAAAAAAAAAAAAGAAAATATTTCAGCTAAACATAATACTATATAGAAAATTTTCAATTGTTAACACAGCAAAGGAAACTTTTCTCTTAGATCGGTATCTCACAAGTAATTTGTACTTACAATTGAAAGACCGTAGTGCAGTAGAATATGAAATACACTTGAACATTAAAATCAAACTAATGGAAATAGAAATTTTTTAAATATTTTTCGGTAAATGATAAAAATGTCACACTTGAATAAAAAATTATTTTTCATTAATTTGATCTATAAATGACTCATAAAATTGGTATAGGCAAATCAATTTCATCATCAGTTTTGTACTCAACAACTGCAAGTCTGCCTGGACTTGCTCCACAAACCAACTTTTCTATCTCCATTTTGAAATATAGTTATTAATTATGATCCGCCAATAGAAAGATCCAACTCTTTTTCTGAGTCGAAAGTGTTGGGAAAATCGCTATTTTCCCGCCCTTCGGATTGGCTTCAAGCAGGAATAAATAAGAAAATAAAATAATGACTGAGAAATTAAAGTACTCACTAACAACTGGCCAAGTCTGCCTGGACTTGCCCACATGAACCAACTTTTTCTATCTCCATTTTTGAAATGATAGTTATGTAATTTTATGATCCGCCAATAGATAGAATCCAACTCGTCTTTTCTGAGTCGAAAGTGTCTTGGGAAAATCTGCTATTTTTACCCTGCCCTTCGAATTGGCTTCAAAGCCGGAATAAATAGGAAAATTAAAAGTAATGACTGAGAAATTAAAGAGAACACGATATAGTTATAACCTGGAAAACTCCCTCAGTGGTGAAAACACCACGGTCGTTGCAAACGACCAACAACAAGAAAAAATATTCACTATGTGGCAAAGTTGTTACAACCACAATTACAAATATTTTTCTACCCGAACACCTCTCGGCATCGAAAAACACCACCCCCATATTTTAAATACTTCCAAGTGGACTTTCTCCTTTTCCAAAAGAGCCTGTGACTTTTAAATCTCTAATATATTAAATACACATTCAATTATTTTTGTGTGTTTAAGAAAAACCTAAACTTGACTTCTTTTATAAGCCTAATTCGGCACTACCTCTTACAATAATCTCCTTTAAAGTGCATCCCTCGATCGTGGTTGATGTGAGTCACAAACAATATATTGATATATATATATATATTTTTTCTTATATTTCAACCCAGGAGGCTCAATCTCCATCTCTTCCCGCAAAAAAAACACAGACACTTGTTTGCTAGTCAGCTTTTAGTTCCGACTGGCACTTGGGCCTCGGAGGAACCATAATTAATTTTAATTAGCCTCGACAAGTGAGATTCTCATAGCTCCACCATACAACAGAGTCATCTTGACCTACTTGGAATCCCTACTTTACGAACTCCAAGGAATTTTTCTCAATCGGTCTATGTGGTTGGACTTCCGCTAATAGTTGTACTGGTTGCAATCCCTTCGCGTTGACTTTTTCACGTGCAGAGTTCTGTGTACATCTAGCCCATCCGACAATTTTTTCCACCACACAGGTACACTTTGCATCAACTGTCAACCAATGCTCAAGTTGTGGTCGCATTTCCGATGGACCAGCTACCTATAATCCTGCCTCTTCTCATGGCATCTCAACGAGTAGCAATCATGCTCATGAGGAACACATCTTTCAATACTACAGAGAGAACACATCATCTCCTTCGCACCACAGGAGATCAACATTGGCAACAACAACTTAGAGCTTCTAGCCGAAATCGGCTCCACTTGTTAGGCAATCCTTCCTCACGTGTCCAGTTTTGACCAAACAAAACCAGGCAAGACAATTTTCCCTCTTTCCGAGCTTTTATTCTTGGTTTTCCACTGTATTGTTTTATGTTCTGACATATCAAAGCTGATCCTCATTGTTGTATGTTCCAATTTCATTCAGATCTTCTCTCTATCAGTAAGCCGAAGCTTACTAATACATCTGCCAATACACCACTTCCTTACTACATATTTCCAGAAACAAGTATTTCATGCGCTCAGATTTATGTCCGATTAGAACTCGCACATGATAGAACTCGGAGAGCCTGTTCATCTTCAATCTCTCGAGCTTTATCTTCATCTTCGGTTTGCACTCCAAGAGTTTCTAATTCAGAGACGATGTCGTTAAGAACACTCAGGTGATCTGACAGCTTTGTACATTCCGCCATTTTCAACGTATGAAATTGCTCTTTTAAATATAACCTGTTATTGGATATATTTTTTCCCTGGTACAATTCTTTCAGTTTCTCCCACAACTCTTTTGTCGTGGACAATCCAAGCACATTAGCAAGAACATTTTTTGCTATACGCATGCGAATTTGACTTGCCGCTTTGATATCCAGCTCCTCCCATTCTTCATCGCTAATCTTGGATTTTCTGAGTCTCTACTGCCACTGTCTTTTCCTGAATTCTTTTCGCTGACTGGTTTACCCTGTAAAACCTTATGCAGTCCAGACTGAATCAACACGTCTTTGACTTGCACTTGCCACAATGCAAAATTCATTCTCCTGTCAAATTTCTCAATCTCACATCTCATAGCCGACATAAAGCTGAATCCTCATATGATTTATTTTTCATTTCATTCAGTCTTCTCTCCTCAGTAATGAGCTTACTAACCACATCCGCATACACCACTTCCTTACTATCATATTTCAGAATAGGTTTCATATGCTCATATGTCGAATGAAGTGACAGGATGAGTCGGAGAGCTTTATCTTCATCTTCGGTTTGCACTCCAAGAGTTTCTAATTCAGAGACGATGCCGTTAATAACACTCAGGTGATCTGACAGCTTTGTACCTTCCGCCATTTTCAATGTATGAAATTGCTCCTTCACCACCAGTACTCAAGCACACCGAAGCAAAGCTCCACCCGCTTCAAGACTTCCAAAACTCCACCTGCTTTTAAAATAAAATAATTTCTAATAACAGTATTTCTGATGTGGAAGATCAGTGTGGAACGCTTCAGGCTAGAGCCCGCCAACACAAGGTGCATACTTAAATTTAATTACAGGAAGTGAGTATTTTTAAGCACTAAAAGGTTCCACGCCCCTCCACAATTAGGCATTCTGATACCACTTGTTGGGAAATAACTGACTAATTCTCTCCCGCGCCTTAACGGATCGTGCCTTCAAGCAGGAAATAAATAAAAAAATAAAAATAATGACTGAGAAATTAAAGAGAACACGATATACTTTAACGTGAACGAAGAACCTCTCCAATTTCAACGTGTGGAGAAAAAACCACAGGTCGTAGGTGCCCCCAACCGACAACGCAAGAAAAAAAGTATTCAGCTATGTGGCAAATTGTTTAACAACCACAATTTATCAAAATATTTTTCTACCCGAGCCCCCTCAAAAAACACCGGGCGAGAGAAGTGTTTAAACACCCCAAATATTTTATACTCCAAGGGACTCCAAAAGACTTGCTTTAAATCCCTAATATAAAACACATTCAAATGTTTTTGGTGTGTTTTGATGTGTTTAGAAATCTAAACATTGGCTTCTTTTTATAGCCAATCCACCTACCCTCAAATCTCAGTCTCCCCGATGTGGGATTGACCAAACTATATTTTATATATATATATTTTCTTATTTTCAACCAAGGAGGCTAACAGAAAGTAGGTTTTGCATCAAATTTCACTCTGCAGTCGGAAATCCAAAACGATAGGGACGAAGTCTTTAATAAACCCTGCATAAGTCAATTGCTTATTTGAGGTTACATCGACCCATCATCTGAGGAGAACTATTCAAACAACCACATGTTTGGATTTATCTTCTCTCCCTTTTAATGGATCGATAGAATCTGACATTCTGAAAATAATCTATAAATAGCTGTATTTTTTTATTAGCGAAATTTATAATTTTATTAATTAAAATTACCAAAAAGAAACTTAACAATAAGAAAGAAACCCTAGACTAAAGCAAAGAGGAAAGAAATAAACGTTTTGGGACCTTTTGTTCAATAGAGATACATTTTCCTTCCTAAATGCATGCGTCCAACCTATTTTATACACCAGATTAATTTATTCCTTCTCTTTTCCTAATTTCTTATCTACCAAACGCACCATTGGCATTAGTGTTGTACCAAAATTATTGTTAGGATACAACCTAATAGATAAAATAAATAATAAATAATTGTATAAATAGCGACACATCACCAATTATGTAAATTAATAAAATGTGTTCTCTATTCAGTAAGAGAAAACAAGCCCACATTAATCACAGTTCCTTTTATTTTTTGGTAGTTATAATTGATATACATTAATCACATATAGCATGAAAAATAGTATACTCGAAATAGCCATGAAATGGAAAATAAACGCCAAGCAGCAAGTCTCAAGGGAAAGACAAAAATGCATGCATATTATATTCGTTTTCAATTTTTTAATTATCAAGAAATTGGTTTCTAATAATCTCAAAATATGTTGGTAGAGCATAAGAATTGGCAACTTGGTGGAAATCGGATTCTTTTTTTTTTTTTTTTTTTTTTTTGGCAAACTTGGGGTAAATCGGATTTCCTTTTTTTTTTTTTTTTTTTTTTGGAATGGTTGCGAGAAGGGAATTCAAATCTGGAATTTATTATCGAGTCATTTATGCAGCTTACCACTAAGATTATACAATTGGATTTAGAAATTCCATTATGTTCTGACATTATTATCAAGCCCACAAGAATACATTTTCATATCTTTAAGATAGAGTTTGATTGACTTGATATTATAAACACTCTTTATAAGAAACTTGAATGTAATCAAATAAATAAGGACCATTTAATTTTTTTTTTTTTTTTTTTTTTTTTTGAATGTTGGAGAAGGGATTTCAAATCTGGATTTATTATCAGGTCATTTATGCACTTACCACTAAGTTATACAATTTGATAGAAATTCCATTATGTTTGACCATTATTATCAGCCACAAATACATTTTCATATCTTTAAATAAGTTTGATTGCTTTGATATTAATAAAAACAACTCTTTATAAAAACTTGAATGTATCAAATAAATAAAGGACCATTTAATCCCATAAAGAAGGGCAAAAGTCATAAAAAGAATAATTTACATATTATATATATATATATATATAATATTTGGAAAGATACATATTAATAGATCTAAAAAGTTCTTTTTATTGAATAAAGCATTGACAAAATAACTTCTGCCGACTAAAAAAAATAAATAAATTGTGATTTAAAGAACACGATTTAGAAAACAACAAGAAGCATAATTATTCAGTTGAAACTTGATTTATATAAGTTAACATATCATCCAGCCATTCCTCCTGCATGTTTCACAAATGCATGCATGTAAAATTTAATGAAGATCCCTTTCTTTTCTTCTTAGAATAACTGTTGAAATGTCTAAATTTAGTTCCAAATTGGCAGTGGCATTTGGCACGTTATGAACTTGCATGGTTAGAAAAATTGCAAAAAATTCTTGCAATTTGTAAATACATTTAAAAAAAAACAAACAAAAAAAAAAGATTTGGGTGGATTAATTGACATATACATACAATATATCACGGGTTCTATGAAGTGTGGGGTAAAGTCACGTGTTATCAACTGTCAACTTCAAAGATAGACCACTGTTGGGTCCACTCCTGATCATGAGGGTTTCTGCTATAAGTAAGATTTATGGCAACTTCGATCTAGATTTAATAAAACTATTCAATTTATCATATATTACTATTGTTTTTGCAGCTTAATTTAATTAATTAAACTAAAATGTAGCTGAGCTCATGATATGATTTAAATAGGAACTACCACAATTTCAGGTAATTTGATATGCAAATTACAGGCTAATAAGTTTAAGTAAAAGTTCAAAAGTGAAATAAAATTTTTCAGGAACATATATAGGTGAATTTATACATTTAGCTTAAATAACATAATATTGAAAATATATAATAGATGAATTTATGTTTTCAAAGTTAGTTAGAATTTACATCTTCTGAACAATCCTTCTAGTTTGGCTAGAGACGTGATAGAGGCAGATAAGGGTAGAGCCATATGGCCAGGCAAATTGTGTACTTCTTTCTTTGGGTTTTTCCTCCTCCTTCATTTGGAAAAAAAAAAAAAAAGGAAAAAAGAAAAGACATAATATTTTATTTTTAGATACAAATGGCTTTAAGTTCAGTAATAATAATAATAATAAACACTGAGAAATGTAACAATAACTCATTAATTAGGGCAACAATATACGTAGTAATACGCGTACAAATCCTCTTATTATACTGGACTGGTTAACAATAATTACTACAAGTCTTCAAAAAGGGTTATCACAGTAAAAATGGAGCCTAGCTATGTATCAAGCAAAAGCCCATATAGTGACCAAAACCCTCTGTCTTGGCCTGTAAGTGACCAAAACCCTAAATTTACACACACACACACACACACATATATATATATATATAATAGATAGAAGGAGAAATGTGGGACCAATACAATTGAAGGGTATCTTCTACTCCATGAACAAACTCCTAATAATGGCTGCTTGAGCACTGTCAGAGTCAGTTGAAGCCAAAAGCTGAGATAAACGGTCACTTAGATCATCTACTTCTCTGTGTAAGCTTCTTATATAGTTGCAAGTCTCCTGTAAAACCTTGGAAGCTGACACCTGCAAACATTTTCATTCTCACATTAAAATTAATTACTTAAACTAATTATGATTTAACTTAACAATTAAGAAGGAACAACTGAGTCCCACACCTCTCAAGTTGTTGTAGGTAGAAGGTGGAGACACCACAAGAAAGTAGACATGACTTATCTACTTAAAGCAATTTAGACCACACAAATTCTGAATCCAGAAATTAAGAAAGAGAGAGAGAGAGAGAGAGAGAAAGAGAGATTTATTTATTTTATTTATTTAAAAAAAATTATATAAACATACCTTGTCGGAGCGCCTACTTTGAATCTCAGGGATAAGCTGTTGCAACTTTGAAACAAGATCGATGATCTGATCATCGCTAATTCTCGAACCGCCAGACTGCCTACTGGAGCGAGATCTTCTGCTAGACATTATTATTAAGTGATTGAAGATGATATATGGTGTCAGTTAACTAACTAACTAACTACCTGTATATAACTATGTTGAGGAAAGACAAATGGGGAAGTGTATATAATAACTTGTCAGAGAAGGTAAGTTTGTTATAATTATGAGGAAATTAAAAATGGGTGCAGTGCAGTTTAGATATGGAGAACGAAAAGAAACAAGCGAAAGAGAGATAGACCAAGAAGAGCAAAGTTGCATATGATATATATAGAGAGAAAGTAGTGTGTTGGTGGTGAAGAAGACAAAATTAATTTAAGTGCATGGGAGAAAGCAGTGGGCTATTATTATGTTTAATTAAAAAAAATTCAAAAGTGGAAAATAGGGTTTTTGAAGATAGAGAAAGAGAGAAATCCAAGTAGTAGAGATACGCCATACTGTCCCTCTCTGTGTGTCCCCATTCTGGGGTTAGAGTTCAAGTGGGTTTAGAGCAAATTGCTGCTTAATTAGCAAACCCTGGGGGCGTCTTTGTGTCAGTCTTACCACGCAAGCCCACGTTCTCTTATTTTCTCTTGTCATTTATTTTTATTTTTTCATTATTATATTAATACGTACATGTAATTTATTTTCATTTATTGATTAAGATTTAAACACTTTATTATGAAGAAATTCTAATGCTAAAATTAGAAAGCTACTGCTCTTTAGCAAAGCCAGGAAGAAGAGAAGAAGAAGAAGGATTGTGGTTTCTGCTTTGCTTGACATTGTTGACCAGCTGTATAAATCTTGTAATGGGAGTAAGTAATAAAAAATACGCAACATGGAGATTTCAGGTAACGACATGGCAAAGCACGTGTCGTCTCGGAGTAGCTGCATTACATTGAACTGATTCAGAAAATGGTCCTTCTTTGACTATGTTAATATAATTCAAAGAGCAGTCTAACATTAAACAGTGCCTAACTAAACAAGAAAACACACCTTTCGGGGCATAGAATCTCAAATATCTTAATATTAATACTATGAATGGCTAAATATTATCCTTCAGATAGTCAATTTGTTGTACTTGTAAATTAATTATTAATTATATTGTAACTAATGTAGTGATAATGTAAATTAAATGTGGTTACATGTGAATGTGAAAGCGTATTTATACTTAATGAATTATTTGATATTTTTTGCATTGTTTTCCGGCGAGATTCCTGCTTTATAAGTCAGTTTGTCGGTGTATTATGCAATTGGAAGTTGGACCTTAGAACAATAAACTTTACCAGTTGCTGTACTTAACAGTAGACTGGACTATATGCCAATAATTTTAATTACTAAAAAGATTATTAGTACTTCTGTTTCACTATATTATTTATAAAATATTTTTTTATTAATTTGATTTCAAATGGAATTTAAATTCAAGATCGTTTAATGATGAGGGAAAAAAAAAAAAGTCCTTCCTGAAGGTCAAGAAAGACTCAGGAGCCGTTGGAGCATGCAAAACGTTGAGAAAGATGATACACAGCTGTTAAAAATGTGGACATGTGAGCAGTGGAATGAGTTCGTGAGGCATGCCCATTTAACTTATTTCGTCCAAGTCTTTGATTTCTTGCGGATTATATGCATATTAGCTGACTTAGTTGCTCTTAGATCTTAATTTAATTTATTTATTTATTTATTTTTTTTTTTTGTATTTTGGAGATTAAAAAGCCACAACAAGATTAAGTTTGGGTAATTTTAAAATATAAAAAATGAATAAAGGTGACTGTAAAAATACTCGCCTAAGACACAAGATTAAGTTCAAATAACAGAAGATAAATAGAGCTTGAGCGTGACATGAATCATGCAGATTAGAGGTGATATTTTAAATTGAGAAAAATCCCCATGTTGTTGTTTATTTTCATATTCTAATCCTTGCTTTAATTAAGAGAAATCATTTATTCTAATTATTAAAAACTCTAATGTTAAAACAATCAAAAAGATTCCTTAAAACTATATTTGACTTTTTTTGTACATTAGGGCTCAATTTGAAACAAACAAACAACCCTACTTATCCATTCACCGAATTAATACAAAGAAAACAACAAATGAAACAAATAAAATATAAACTAAACTGATAAGTCATTAAAAACTTGATTTCATTTTTCAGGCGAATTTTATTTACAAAGTTAAGTTCGAAAGTCATTATTGAGAATATATCATTTTGCATACAATATTTTCGGCTTAAATGCGAGAATACATATGCAATTTGAAAAAATAAATACCATTCAATTTTATCCAACTATATTTTACATTGAAAAAATGATAACAATAAGACTATGAATTTAAATTTTTGTCTAAGCTAAATTAATCAAAAAAAAAGAAGACACATTCATATTATAAAAGACTAGTTAGATTTGATGATTATAATAATAACGTTGTTCGAGAATTATAAGATTATGAGATTAAATTCGATTTAGAGTCAAATTAATTGAAATAAAAATATACATACATACACACGCACTCACGTGTTAAAAAAACTGGAATAAGCTACATGGCCTTATTTTAACATACTTGTATAGGTCGACTGTGTACGTGCATGTTCTCATGAATTTCGTCAACAACAGCTATCACATACCAACGTAGTCGTATAGCCAGGTTCTTTGTAACTCATCGCAAAAAACTCTCTCAAACCCTTTCCTCTTCTTTTGCTTGAATGACCAAATATATATCCATATGCATGTTATGTCTATGTTACTTGCCTTTTCTTGCTCCCTTCAGCTACCTAAAATATGATGTCCAGATACATATATTTTCTATTACTGCCCAAATAGGGTTATTAGTTAGCTGGCAGCAAAGCTGTTTGTCAAAAAGAACAACTAAAACTGCGTTTTCATTTTCTTTTCCGTGTTTTTGCTTCATTTGTTTCAATGGGATAATCGATACAAACAAATTAATGACAGTAGCAATGTTTAGGATTATATAGTATTAGCTGTCAATTAATTAGTAATTAATTAATTAATTAATTAATTAAGCATCTATCAAATAGCTCATGAAATGTACGGAGTTCTGTTATTTTTTGTAGGTATTATGGGACTAAATATTAAAAATATATAAAGCAAAGATCAGAGAAAGTCTGTGTAAAAGACAGCACCTTGTCGATGTGAGCTGGGATGATCATTTTATCTATATTATATGTATCTTTTCACTCGTTCTGAATGGTGCTTGGTGAGTGTCAGATGGCAAGAACTGTAAAACATGCAATCAAATATTGGAATCCAAAGTTTGAATGTTCATTAATTTGTTTTCTTGTATTAATTCTTAATTGTGCATTAATGGTTCAGTGCATCATTTTATTATTTACGTTAAAATAAACACTCATATAGTTGTATCTAAGTTAGATGAAGAATCATTTTAATAGTGATAATAAATAAATAATTGTCCAACTTAATTGATATAATCAAAATCCTAGATTCAGACTCAGTTATTAGCTGATTCTTTTAGTACGGTTGTATGAATTAAGGAATCCATTTGATTATATTCTGTTTGATTAATCATAATCAATGATCTTAATAAAAAAATTATATATCATCTGAAAATTGAACCAAATTGCAACTAACTACAAATTCAACTAATTAGAAGTTTTGAATTCAAGTGTTGACTCTGAAATCATTTTAAATTCTCGGTAGAGAATTTTTTATTCCCTTTGTAAGTCTGCTCGGTGTGAATCTGAATTATTACGCCAATAAATTTCAGACACGAAATAGTTAAAAGCTTAAAAAAGAAAACAAACATCACGTCTTTGAAGAAGAGAGAGTTAGGCTAAGAATGAATATCGAATTATGGACTGCTCATGTCATGACTCAGCCATGCAAAAGCACGTTAGAGGATAGCTGTACATGTACTTGCTTTGCTCCCTGCTTGGACTATTGTATTGCAGTGGAAAGCATATTCTAACATGCATATTTCTTATTTTCTTTGATATATACTCCAAGATGTAAATCCCGATTACATGTTTATCCATGTGATACATATGTAAGTGGATTCTGTTTAAATATGAGAAATTTATGTACTGAATAATAATTTATTTTTAAATAATATTATTCTATAAATATTAATATTATTATTCTTCAGCAATACTAATTAAAAGCAAAATCAAAAACAGAATCTGTGTGAAGCATTGTCTTTAATATAATAAATAATTTTTTTTATATGAACCGAAAGTAAGTTTGTCGATACTGTTGAAATGCCAAGAATTGAAGCACTAAATGCTCATCCAACAATTAACTTGCAATCATGATTAAGTTTATCAGATTTAATATATTAGATAAATCAATTAAAACTAAATAGTAGGCAAGGGGCATTCATGGTTTTTAGATAAATCAATTGAAATTTGAAAATTGCAAATTGCAGAAGAATAAACAAATTAAATTGCAATACTATCAAACTAATTAATAGCTAGTATTTTCCTTTTTCATTAAGCTCCTAAGCTTTTCTAATTAAACAAATTAATAGTTGAATATTTATTTATTTAGTTTAATAATAATATAAAGAATGAGGAGTTAAATCACTAAAAAGGGCATGAACGATTGAACATGATAAATATGAAATGGGTGTGATACATATAAGTCCAAAAGGGATCCTTGGATACTCTAGACCTATCTGATTTGTAGTTGCACAAATAAAAACAAAACAACTCACATGACAATATCAAGATGGAAAATGTCGTCAAATGTTAGCACAAACCATAAGGATGGGCTTTCACAACTCTCTGCCGACCAATTAAATTATAATAAGCTCTTCTTCTTCTTCTTCTTCTTCTTCTTCTTCTTCTTCTTCTTCTTCTTCTATATCCCACGATCTTGGCAATCTTCCAACCCCATCATAAATTTGCTCCTTGGTTCTCTGAATTTGCCAAATAAATTTGATCCACGGAACTTATAATAAGTTGCATTGTGCATTATCCATCAATCAAGCGAAGGAATAATCTAAAATTTAAGCATAAAATACAATATATATTTTATATTATATGAATATAATATTGTGATGAAAAAAAAATAATAGAGCACTTTTAATTTCTTTAAAATTTAAACTATTTAAATATTTCATTCTATTTAGGATTAATCAAAATATATAAATATTTGGATTGACAGGTTGTATTTGAACTATGGATAAATATATAAGTTATAATTATATTATTTCTTTATTTATTTAAATGAGAAGGTAATCACACGTTAATTTTAACATTCTATTAAATTCAGTCAAGCATATTATTCGAATTAGAATAAGAAGTTGAAGAAAGAATACAATTTGAACATGGGATACATGTGTATCAACTTAATCAATCAATGAAACGTTGAAGTTATTGCAAAAATAAAATTATCAACTCTTCTAATCAAAAGTATACTTTATAAATTTATAGAAATTGGAAATCAAAACTTTAGCAGGGCATTATGGTTTTTTTTTTTTTTTTGTCAATGTTATGCTGTTTGGTTTGTCTATCTCGTACATCTAGAAGTCAAAGTCTCTAAATTGACCAGACTAAGGCTTAGCCACATTTAGAACGAACCATTAAGAATTTAAATGCAAAACATAACATAAGCATGTGGGTTTGTTCCCATTTTTCTAAAATCAGACAATTGAGAGCCTCAAGTGATGCATCCTAATTCTGCAACAATCCAAAGGCAGCCTACATCCCACCCTTCGGTTATCCATTTCAATTATTTACAGCAACTCTTTTTGCTCCTTAGTCCTTCCCTTTATTTATTTATTTTTTTTTTTTTTTTCAATTCAAGTTTGTTATGAAAAGACAAATAAGAGTCTTTGAGCAATCGATTACATTATCCATCTTCATATATAAAAGAAAAAAAATTGAGGGTTAAAAATGATGTCAATAATAAAAATCACATTCCCAAGCATACAAACTTATTTTAGAATCAAATAAGTACAATTTAAGTAATGATTTATATCCTTAATTAATCTCTGGAAGAACTTTATATGAGGGATATGGAAAAAGCAGAACGAGAATTTACTTGAGGGGGGAAAAAAGAAAGAAACAAGAAGTTAGTGCGTCACGGTTGGCCTCTTCGTTCATTTGATTTTCATGCTTTTGTTTTGAAAAAGAAACATATAAATGATAAATTAGTTTTACATGTTGAACAAGTGCTCAAAAATTATTTTGCCATACCTACAGGTTGTGACTCAATTGATAAGGTAAGTTAGACATGTAGAAAGAATTCACAGATTCGATTCATATTAAACGCACCTACAGGGAGGGGTGAGGAGCTTTAACTGTAACTAAACCCCGAGCTGGATTGGAAATCTCTAATAGTAGGATCCGGATACCGGTGGTTTACACCAAAAATTATTTTGTCATTATTGTAGTTTTATTTTATTTTAAGCATAATGACAAAAAAAGCTCCAATTATTATTTTTTTCTAATTTTGGCAAATAGATTTTAAAAAAAAAAATTATTATTATCACTAATCTAAACCTGTACCATATTTACATTAGACTTGATTTTTTTTAAAAAAATATTTAGGGAAAAAAATTCAAATTTAAATCTATTGCCAAATGGTACGTGCATTTACCCATTTACGATTAGAATATGGTTTGGTGTATAAATTTGAATTTGCTGATATGAACAAATAATTATAAATATAAAAATAAAGTAAACCTTTAGTTCGCAACTATAACGTCTGTCCAAAGGTTTTTTTTTTTTTTTCTGACATTTGAATTACGGATTATATTAATAAGAGAAGAAACGAGCAATACAAGCGGGAGCACTATCCCAAGTTTGAAAACAAGCTCCACTAGGGACGGATTTAGCCAACACATGTGCTATATCATTTGCTTGTCTTCTAATCTAAGCCAATGTAACATTAGGCAATTGGACTAAGAGTAGTTTACATTCAGAAATGACAACACCAAACTCGGACCAGTCGTGGACAGAACTCCTCGTAGCTTAACAGACTTGAAGGCAATCAGTCTCAAACTGAATCGTCAGAGTAGGGTGTTCCGACAGCACCTAGGTTAATACCTTTCTTAACGCCTGAGCTTCTGCTACCGCTGGAGAAGAGCAACCGTGCAATGAAGATATTGTTGTTCATACAAATCCGCCATGGCAGTTTGAGAGTACAGCACCGACAGCTCCATGGCCGGCAGATGGGAGAAGAGCGGCATCAAAGTTTATTTTCAAAGTGCCAGTAGGTGGTGGAAGCTATTGACTACCTGCAGAAGCATTGATGCCTATATCTGAACCTAACAGCTTCAGCTGAGCTTTCTTCCAAGATGCGAGCATACTTCTAGCTCGAGTAACCACATGATAAGGTCCTTCATCCACTTGGTTCCATTTGAGTTCATTGCTGTTCAGCCAAACACTCCACGTCTGTCCAAAGGTTAATTGTTGATGACCGACAGTTAATGAACTAAATTATAACAGTTAGAAATATCCACCAATCGTTAAATTCATCAAAGCCGGTAATAAGGTTATTAGAGACCTAAACACTAAGGTTTGTTTAGATAAGGTGAGGGAAGGTTTATTAAAATAAGATAAAGTACTATATGGTCAGATGAGATAATGATATTTTTTTTATATTTGGGAGGGTTGAAGTTTAGTAATATTATTTTGTTTTATTTGAAGAAATTGAAATATAAAGATTAGCAAAATACCATAATCATACCTTACCTTCTATGTGTGAATTCATATACATCCTACAATAAATTTAACAAAAAATTATGTGACGATAAAATTATAAAAATTAAATAATTGATTCATTTACCAAAACTTAAAATCCATGATAAATTTTCTGACGGGCCAAAAACATGTTTTACATTTGTAATAAACATTAAAATTCAAACTTTTTTTAACCTTATTTTACCCATCTTTCAACAGATTTTAAAATTTTTCAACGTCTCTAAAACATTATTTCTCGAGTCACTTTGAAGAACAATAAGACCTTCGGATGAACAAGGATTAATATGGATGAGCTCATGTTCAAATATAAAAATTTGTTTCGTGGCTCAATGGAATTGCTAGAGGCTTTATTTCTCAATCACACAAAGTAGAGTCAATTCTTATACGATGTAATATCTCTAATATGTATCTACGCAAGTGTTTGAAGTTAAAAAAAAAAGAAATATCAAGTTCTTTTTGAGCCATGTGGTATGCTCCCTGTACGGTTTACTGACGATATTTGCAAGTAGCTGCGTCGACGGTTCTTCGTAAACTGAACTAAACCCAAGAACCGACTTGAACCAAGTTGGAAACGAACCAAAAACAGATTTGTAAATATTTATTTAAATATACTATTTAGTTTGAACTGCTATCATATTTTTGTTATTTAAAATAAAAATTTCATTACTATTTACTAATAAGTATTCAGATAAAGTGAGATTCAAATCATTTGGTTCCAATTCTTCTCAAAAAATCAAACCGAAACTGGAATTGAATATCCCTATCTGAAAGTCCTGAAAAGATGCATCCTAAGACTGAAAATGACATAGAAAGCAGCGAAGTAAAAACATGAAATTATGGGAATCATTTGTCAAAAGGTGATAATAGGAGCCACATGATCTAGGTAACTTTGCGAGTGAATGTCATCAGTCAGGGGTAAAACTCCCAGTATCATGTGCCCTTTGCTCCCTTATTGTCTCTATTCGAAGACAGTTAAGCGTATAAATCTCCACGAAAGCCACGAATATATCTATATCAAATCATTTCATAATGGCAAGACAAGCCCCAACTCGAGAACTTAGCATATGAAAAAATGAAAATAGTGCCTCATCTTTGGCAAGAATACTCTAATTTCTAACAGCAATACAATATGAGGCAAGCAGTTAATTATTGGCAGCTAGAGAATAAAGGACCGTACTTTAATAACTAGATATTTTAATTTTCAATATTAAATTATTATTTTGAACAACTAAGCACTGTATCTTGAAATGTTACCAAAGCCAATTGTTTGCAACTCAAGTGCCAAATAGTAATTTTCATCATGAAGTTTCAATTGTAAGAGTAAAGAATTCAATAATTAAATGCTTAAAAACAAAAACTAACGAACAAACAAAAAAAGGAGAGTGATTCAGCATATGCAAAGCATCAATAGAGAACAGAAAATCCATTTTCTGCTAACTAATCAAAAACTTAGTTTGGTTACACCTGAGGCAGGCAGCACATGTCATGTTTTGTGAGTTGGAATTTGAAAACTCATGTTCAGATTGGTGGTGATATTATGTGGTGCAAACAATAATTCAGACAAATGAAACGGTTAATGAAAGGTAGTCATAGTCATTGTCTCTAAATCATAGCTTCCTGCACCTGATCAACCATGTGATTATTAATACCATATTATTGTAGGGCCCTAAGTACCTAAAGTCAATGAATCATACCAAACAAATGTTACAAAGGAAAATTCGGGTTCTTTCCAACAATTCTGGATTTAGCTGCATGCTACTCTAGGTTTTGAAAACTGCGTGTATTTCATGTGACTCAATGTTTCTTATATTCAGCTCAGGCTTCCTCCATGTTCATTTCGGATGAGAAAATAACTCAATTTTCTCATGTAAACTCACCTCTCTGATGTCTCAGACCTTCTGATGTTCGATTCAGCTTTCTAATGGGCCTAAATGGCATGTGCATCATGCACTTCAAATATTCCAATGCTCAACCTCACCTTTCTCCATGACCATTGAAAATTTGGAAAATTTCAGGAAAACTAAAACTTGGTAACTGAGGTAAAAAACAGATAAAATTTTTGAAAAGTTAGTCATGCATGCAAGATGCACCAGACCCAACATTTAACATTCAGGCTCTCAAATTTTAGTCTCAAAATTAACAAATTAAACACGTAGATTTGCATTTAATCTAGTTTGTATATAAGATAACTTTTTTTTTTTTATTTATTTTTATTGGCAGTCGAAAAAACTCACGGGTTGTAAAGTTGCTTCTTTGGAAAATAGCACACAGTTCTTTTTTTTACTCTGTACAAACAACACAAACTCTACATAACTTACATTAAACATAGCATTTCTCCTTGATGACCCAGACCATGCCAACAAAATCACGGGAAGCATTTCATCCTCTGCATATTGACACAAAATGAGGAATAGTTCATTCAAAAAACATCACCTCTCCTCCAAGTACACTAATATGTTTAATTACCTGTCTCTCAATTTCAACAGCAGATGCAGCAAGTCTCCTTCTCAAAATCGATCTTTCATCTTCACATGTGTCTATCTCAATATCTAAAGAAGAACAACAATCAGTAAAAAAACCTTTGTACCAAATTAGCCATGCTAATTTCTGTCGATAAAGAAATTTGAGCAGATGTCCTTAAGATGATATAATACACTTCAAACATGCTTCTTATATTTGAGCTGAAAACATCTTGATGTCTTTTGATTAGTAAGATTACTGGTTACATTTAGCTGGCTGCTAATTATAACAACATAGCATGATTTATTCATGATATTTTAATAGGTATCCCTCTGTATTAATTATATCTTGAGCAATTCCTAGGCATTAGACTCAGCTATATTAGTGAATTCTAAGATAAGATTTCCTGTAAAAGAGATACATAAATCTCATCTTTCTTAAATTTCATATGATTTTAGACATTTTACGTGCAAGGATAAATCAGTTATCTTATTTGTTCAAGACTGGTCAAACTCTCCCTTAAAACTCCTTACTACCCATGTAATGTTTCTGTTCTCTCCTCTAGTTGTATTTGACCTTTTCAAATCTGCACATAAACTTCTTTTGCACATAAGTGCACATGCACACCTATAGGAACATCCCATCTCTCTTCATGTTACTCTGTGCCTTGATTCAATTAATAAAATCTGAAGAAGTTAGTCCATTATGCTAAAGATAAGAACATATTTCCAATGTTTGTATTTCTTTTTTTTTTTTTTTCTTTTATAACTAACGGTTTGCTATTTACCTAATTTTAATGAGATTTTTGGTGCTCAAGGTTCTTTTCAAAATACTATGGTCATCAAGTAGTCTTATTGCTAATCATATAAGCATTGTCATTCAAGCAAACCATTTGGGTGTAAATCAAGTTATCCCCCGCATAACTTGTCATAAATTGAACACTTCAGAGTTCCAACAATGTAAAATAGAATCCTTCTTCTTAAAGTATATGAGTTAAGATTTGGGAGAACTATTACAAATTAGATACCCTTAATTAACCGACTGGAATAAGTTCTTAAACTATCCTACGCATGGCCTGTCTCGGTTGCCATTATTAATGCACATGGGCTTTTCTGTTCACAATACTGAAGTACTTGCTATTTGGGAAATTCTTTTGAACCTAAGCGGTTGCCTGTATCTAGCCTTGCTCCTAGCTAATAATATGAACAAGTCCCAATACTTCTGTAAGAAATTAAGAATGAGATCAGTACATAAGTTCATAACAAACACAGCACAAACAAAAAGTTCCAGAGGTATATTCACAAAGAAACCAATACTTATGCATCAAGAGATATGAGTCTCATAGAATTCAAACAACTACTATGGTTGGCCCAAGTAATTTCTCAAAAAAAAAAAAAAAACCATAGTCCAAGTAGCTCTCTATATGGTTTACCAAATTCATTAAGGAATTTCCCACAGGATTGCTTGTTATTTTCCAAAGATTGTTCTCGCCTAACTCAAAATTTTATATGGAAAACCATATCCTTACTCTGATGTTCATGATTTCGAAAACCCTTATACAAACAAGGCCAGTTGGAGCACTTAAACATTGATAACATGATTAACCCTGCACAATAACCACTAATAAATAGAATCTTTTGGAGGGTGAAAAAGGGTCCTCATCTCAAGCTCAAGGGATCATTTGCTATACCATCTTAAATTCTATAAATGTTAAAAAGAAATTGCTAAAAATAAAATACTATCAACAATTTAATTAAACATGGTTAATGCTTACCATAGTAGTACGATGAAAGAATTGTGATGCGCTCAGTTGGCTGAAAAAGAGAGGGGAGAAAACAGAAAATAATTAGCTCAGTGCTGAAGAAGCAGTGGCCACATGGTTGATAATTCGAGGTCAATATAATCTACTAAGAAGAAAGAACATCCCAGAAAAAGCACTTGAATTTGTACTTGCATAAGTACATCAGATGGTTAAAAAAAAAAAGCATCAGGTTTGATACATGCATTACTGCTACCTAACATTCTATCTGAAAATTTTTCATAATTGCAGAGACCTTATGAATGTGCAAGTGCGGAAAATTTTCAATTATTGCAAAATTGCAGACAAGTTCTCGTATTACGTTTACATTTTTTGGAAGGATTCACAGATATTCCATTACTATATAATTCAACTGAACATAACTAGACTAAAAGCATAACAGAAGAGTACCATTACAAAGATTCCCTCGCGACGAGTTGGTAGCTGCTCAAGCTTTATCAGTGTGTCATCCCCTTTAGTAACTTTGCCAAATATTGCATACTGAAGAGATTAAACTTAACAGTTTCATAATCAGATTGACATAGTGAAATAATTTTTGAAACAAAATTTGGCAAGTCAAACTAGCATACCTGGTGATCAAGATGAGGTGCATCTCCAAGAAGTACTGAGAACGAAGATGATGCGCTATTTGGATCAGAATATCTCCATCAAAGAAAATAAAAAATTGTTTTAGTATATTAAACCAATGTTACCAAAAGAGCTCTTCCCCTAGCAATATCTAATTGAATTTTACCAAAAATTGGCTTTCAACCCTCATCACTTTGCTTTGATCACAGTTAACTTGATAAACACAAATACAGCACACAGTTTTATCATTTAGTAGACAAAACACAACAACCAAGATTCTACTATTTTTCAAGTTAAAGTAGCAGTGAAACAAGGACATGCTTTGAATTTTAGCAATGGAAAAGAAAGTGATCAAGACTAAAATGCTAAAAAAATGTATGATGAAGAAATCACCTCCCCATTGAAAGAATGCCTCTCACATGCTTAACATCACTAAATTCGCCAATGACAGTCTTTTCAGCTTCCTTTCTTTGCTCTTCATTCATTGGGGCAGATCGTCCACCTACAACATCCGCCACCTGGGCTACAAATCCCTTATCAACCTGAAATAAACAATTTCTCATTACTACCACACCAAATACTATACCCTCTATTTCTTTTGAAGGTTCTATTAATAAATACCCTAAAAAAATGGTTCGTATTATAGCATCCAAGTCGAACGAGCTTGAAAATGTGTTCTACAGTTTTGGGCGCCACGGAAGGGAAGAATCCGAACTCAATGTCGCCATAATTAGTCTAAAATCAGAAGTTATTTGCAAAAGTAATGTCAAAAAATGAAATATAATTAGGATTAAGGAATTTGAGGAGGAGAAATTTATAAAGCGTAAGCAACAAAAATCACGATAGAGCAGAGAAAGCAAAACCTGGAAAACGACACGAGCAGAACCAAGCTTCGGTTCCTGAGGCAAGGCACTAACAGCGACAACAAATGCCAAACAAACGCAACCGGCGATCCACATTTCTAGTTGCTCAATTTTGGCGCCTGATCTGAAACTGGGAAGTCAGCAAACTGTTAAAGTATCAGGAATTAACGACGAGCCTTACTACGGATATGGGCTGGGCGGCTTAGAGAAACCTGGACTTGGTCCATAGTCAATGGGCCTTAAGTCCTTTAATTAGCTTGATCTATAGTCGAAACATAAATAGCAGGCCCAAGTCACAGCCCATTAAAAAGTCTCCCCTCGGCTCTCCTTTCCTAAAAGGAAGACTTTTTCTTATGAGAATTCATGATTTTTTTATCCTCACACAAGAGCACAGCTTGTCCAACCAAATAGATTTAGAATTTTGCCTAAATTGGCTCAAATAATAAATATTAGAAAAAAATCATTAATCAAATGGTCAAGTTAGGTTAATTCACATTTAAATAATTTTTAAATTTGGTTCAGTCAAGAGTCATTTAAAGTAGGTAAAAGTTAGAGACAATTTTTTAAATATTTAAATCATTCTAATAATATAAACGCGTTCAGTATTAGTCAAATTTTAAAAGATAACTCAAATGTTATTCCAGCATGTAAAAATTTGGAAAAATAAAAAATGCAATGATTACTATTGGTGAATGAACAGTGCAAGTTATTAATTTGACAAAAAGATTTATTTTCATAATGAAATGATCATTGGGAAAAAATGGATTTGCCTAGACTCCAGGCACTTGAATCATTAGTATCGATTCAAAACCATAACTCGATGGATTTTATATAAACTGTTATCGCAGTACTAGTCTTATCGATTCCTTTCAAGTAGACTGCCAAACAGTGATCTCAATTGAACTATTTTTATTCCTAATTTAGGTTTTGAAATTTAAATATTAAGTGATATAAGTGACAAAATTATAAACTTTTAAAATTATTTAATTTAGTTACATATTAAATATAACTGAGTATGTACTGTTTTTCTTTATTAACAAATAAGACTTATTTATACTCAATATATAAATAGTTTCGTGCACTATATTAATCTTCCTTTGTAATATGTAGATTTTCAAATTTACTTTTGAGGTGTGCTTAAATTCTAATTTTATTTGCATAATTGTATTGAGCCACCTAATAAGTACATATTGCTTCACATGTAAGACAGGGGAAGAGAGAGGGAGAGAGAGAGCGAAAAGCAAGATATGTGATCAAATTTTGGCCAGCAATGATGGTAGTATTTATTCCAAAACATTTCATCTCTTGGGCATTAATTGCACAATTTGTCATCAATCAAAATCAAAGGATTTTTTTTTTTTTTTACTATCATTATTATTGCTCCTTATTACAGAACCTGATTCTAGTAGTGTTTTGCACATTTCTTTCTTAGGTAATGGTCTAATCATGCATGTACCAAGAAAATGTGGGTTTAAGCACAATCTTATGTCCAAATTCAAAATTGGACCTGCATATAACAGTATTAATTCCCCTAAATTGTGGCTTAGGTTCATCTGGTCCATATTATGTAGTCGTTAGCCAATCAACATCTGCTGTCAACTTTATTTCATTAATTTGCAATCAAATGTATCACATCCATAACCCTAACCCTAGCAATTTCTTATTTGACTTATGCCTCAATTTCTGACTCTTTAATTGGTGACCCAAAATATTAGGAATCTAAACTCTTATCACCCGCCAAAAAAGAAAAAAAAAAAAAAGGGAACCTTCATCTTTAGCTGCCTACCATATCCGTGGAAGAGGCAATTGTAGAAAATAAGTGAATAAGAAGGAAGAAAAAGGGAAGAAGGAGGCTTGCAAGTTTTTCAACTCTGTACTGTACAGGATAGATTAAGAAAAGTTTAATTTGAACATTTCTTTATCCAAACTAAAGCCTTATCTATCTGACTGATGAACTGACTAATAAAAGATTAAACATTCACACTGATTAGCCTCTTAGGCCCCTCTCACTTTTTTCTTTCTCTTTAAAAGTTTTATCATCTCGTGTTTTAATAGATGACTGTTTATGTGAATATTATTCGATTTGATTTGACAGACATTAAAAAAGTTACGGCGCGAGTCATAAATATAATTATCTGTTTACAATGTGTTTTATCACATAATTAGACTTTTAAAAGTTTTATTCATAAATTTTCACAGCACACTTAGTTTGAAAAGAACACAGACAATAGTGATTTATAGAATTGGTCTTGATGTAATAATAATAATAATAATAATAATAATAATAATAATAATAATAATAATAATATCATAAACATGTGATCAATTAGAGAACCAAACAAAAGAAGCCATAGATAACAATAATTTTCTTCATATAGACAAAATTATTTCCACTGAGAGACTCTTTGCAATCCCTTTTAGGGTTATATTTACCAATCCTTAGTTGCTTACACTAATAAAACTTTTATTTGTTCCATGTAATACAGTAATTAGGTCATGCATTTGCTTATCACATCAATTGATTAGGTTCTTCTTTTACCATACACATCAATGTGAAGTGTCCAACTTTTTATTCCTAAAAAGATGTCTAAGAAGTATGAATTTAACCCCAAGCTGAAATATCCCTAGAGCACTATGTAAAATATTGCAAATGTTGCTTCTGTTATATTTGACAAGACAAATTAAAATTAAATTCTTCAAAACAAATCAACATTGACTTTTGTCTGATGCGTCTTGTGTATATTTATAATTATATTTTTAGTATGACATTAATACAGTATTTGAACTGTTAAAATATTTTTTAAGGATATTATAGTTTTTCATTTACAGTGGGTCCGACGAAAATAATGAAAAAATATTTTCAATAATATAACGTGAAGAATTACAATTTTCACGGTAAGAAAAATGGATGATGAGAAGGGTCTAAATCATTGCCTTATCTATCAAAATCTTGCAATTACCACCCATATCGCATGATTAGACTAAGCTTCACAAGCTATCGCATAGAAAGGAGACGTGGCATAATATGATTGGATCTTGCAAGAAAAATGCTAAAATAAAAATGAAATGATTGCAAGAACATGGCTTGTAAAATTAAATAAATAAATAAATGGAAGTTTTGTTAGAAAATAGAAATTAGGGGGAAAAAAAAAAAAAAACAGATAAGATTTTTAATTTTTAATCAGTAAGATGGGCCGTTGCTGACAGATTAATGTTCTATATGCACCACCTCTAATAATGCTTGTGACCTTGTGCGACACTGATACATCAAATCTTACACCAAAGAAAGGAAAAGAGGCCCACATGCACAACTAGCCCAACTAATCCTCCACGTCCAAGATCTTTCCACGTGTCCGAAAACTTAAATAAAATCCACAGAATTTTGTTTGACAATTTGCAGTGATGAACATGCAATATGCTCACTAATAAAAGAATAATAATAATACAAATCATCAAATTCATCTATATCCAAAATAAGTAAAACCAGAGCCAATTGCAATATAGTGTCTCACACGCCTAAAAGATTCTTCATTGACAACTATTAAAAGTGAGGGCTAAATATTAAAATTTAAGATCTTAATTTTTTTTTTCTCATAGTGTGAAACAAAAATTTGATATTTTAAGTATTAATTCCATATTATTCTAAAATTAGAAATATTAATTAATGATGTTAAACTTTTGTCATCGAGTAATAATGTTTGAACTGTGTTTTGAATTTATATAATTTTGAGTCGTTATTTCTCATATTTATAATGTTAAGTGATGTAGTATTTAGTTAAAATTTAAAAGAACAGATTATGAAATATTAATCCTATAACGTTTGATGAAACGATTAATAACTATTGAACCAGATTGCGGTTATTAAAATAATTAATTTTACCGAATAAAATAAAAGTTTTTAATTTTATATTTTTAATGAGTTTTGGTTGGTAGTGATACTTGGTAGCTAGGGGCAATGTCCTAAGTCATATCATTAATAGGAAGAAAAGCATCTAAATCTTTGGCTTTTTGGAGAAGTGAAAGCCAACAAAGAAAATGTTATATTTAAATAATATGAAAGAGAAGAAAGCAAAAACAAAGAATGAAGCTTAGCCAATGCTAAATAAAAATCAAAGATGCTTTTGAAATTTTATGCACACTGCATATCTTTTCTCACTCCCTTAATGGACCAAAGTCATTGTCATGAATGTGGTCGTTAATTAGTGTTTTCTTTTTATTTAATAACAAAAATGTTTAATTAAAACTTTTTCTTTAATTTTTTTTTCTCTCTTCCTTATCGAAGTCGGTTGCTTTGGTTAGGCGAAATTCACGGATTTCTTGTTTCTTTCTTTATTATATACTAAAATTATAATATATGAAGAAGACATAAAGTTACATTATCTTTTACGACTATGTACACGTAGAAGAGAGTTTATCTTAATTTTGCAAAAATAAAACTAATAAATAATTAAATTTAAGTTGTTTTTTTTTTTAAAAAAAAAAAAAAGAAGAAGAAGAAGTGAATGTGACGTTTGCCTAACAATGTTTTTTTTTTTTGTAGATAATTCCATTTTTTATTTTTTTTTTCTTGTGAAAATGAAAGAGAGGGCACAAAGAATACGTCTCTTTTGCTGACCTTTCCACTTGGCTTTTTATGCTTGTTGACTTAATTTCTCCTATCAATTTTCTATTTTTCTTTTATATATTTTATCATTCGATGGCTCCTTGCATCAACCAACTTCCATTTTAGCTTTACAATATATATTCTCATAGCTTTCTGCGTACACATACATATAATTTATATATCAATATTTAACGTCCAGATTTTTGAAATATTAAATTCATATACATATGATGAATTTGAGGTCCGCCCTCCTTTGTTTTTTTCTTAGGGTTTTAGATAAAATCAATGGGCTAATAAAAGAATAGTATAATACATTCGTAGCATTTTATTTGTCAAATCCGTATTCGTCAAAAATATTTTCCAATCAGCTTATATACAGTACAATAAAAAAATAGCTTCACAGTTTTATTGAAAAGGTAAAAAATTTTAAGCCTTATGCTTTGAAAAGATTATACCTGAAAATTAGTGTAATGGGAAAAATGTATTTAGGTATAAAATGAAAAACTTCTTTCTATGGACTATATATGATTGATTTTTAATACTGAATTGTA